CAGGCACAGATCAGGAGAGGGGGTTGGCAGGAGACCTAGAGTGACCAGAGGTTCTACCGAGCACGAGACACTGCAGGTGTATCTGGGAGCCACGTGCCAGCCTCGTGAGGGCAGCGAAGGGAGCTTGTGTGAAGACTCTGGCCTCAGCTATTGGTTCCAGTGGGTAATTTTTAAAGGCTGTGGCTGAGGATGTCCCAGTCCTCCCTTAGGCTTATACTTCTCCACTCCTTTCACACATTGAACTCCTACATAGTGGCGCCACTGATTTGGCACGCTAGGGAAAATGGACAAGTCCGCAGGGAGCTACTAGAAGAGGAGAAACTGAGAGGGCACAGAATACCCAGGCCTGTCCAGCCACCTTAGGGGCTGAGGAGCTCGGTGTCTCCCATTTAGGAATATTGAGAACAGTAGCCAGGAAGTCCTGCCCTCGGCTGCCAGTTCCCCCCGCCAGTCCCTCCTGCTCTGGCTCCAGCCCTGGCTCTGGTTCCACGCCAAGTCCCGCTCTTGACGAAGATACCTGCTCCCCGGGAGATAACAGCGGCAATCACAAGGGGATGGGACCTTAGGTCTGCCCAGCTTAACAAGGCAGGGATCTGTGAGAAGATCAGGGCTCTGACCTCAGGGTGGTTCCCATGCGGAGAGCTTTTCCTCACCTCTTTGGAGGTCAGCCAGCACCACCAGGAGCCTCTGGCACAGCTAATAAAAGAAAGAAAGCGCATGCATGTGCACATGGGGACACACACAAGGTGGAACACCTCCCAGGCCAGGAGGAGGGAGGGAAATGAGGCAGGTCCATGGGGAAAGACAAGAAGAGAAATCTACAAACTGTCCTAGAAGACCAGGTCCCACCTTGGCAGAGGAGAGGGCTGGACCTGGGGTCCAGTGACTCTGGCCAGCATCACCAGCCACCCCGACCCCCACAGTGTGGTCCAGTTCTGAGCCAGCCTGCTCTGAATGCACCTGGCAGGGCGCAGAAGCGGTGAGGACCCAGTCATTTAGGACCAGCCAAGAGGCCTTTTCTTCTTGGCAGCTCAGAGCAATGAGCACCCCATGTAAGGACATGCAGTGTGCCCATCACTGTGCTCAGCATGTACACACTTTACCTCTGTTCACCCTCACAGCACCCTGTGAGCGACCTCGGAGGAGGGGCTTAGTGAGGTGGGCAATCCTTAGACTCCTGCCTTTTGACAGGGGTTCCTTTCCTTTGAATGTGTCAGGTTCAGCTGGTCCAGCAGAATAATGGACATCAGTTCAGATTGTGGTACATTTGGATACTAAAAAATACAGTGGAGATCAAAAAAACTCAAATATTGCCCTGACAGGGTGGCTCAGTTGGTTGGAGCATAGTGTCTACACCAAAATGTTGCGGGTTCAATTCCTGGTCAGGGCACACACCTAGGTTGCATGTTCAATCCTCTGTCAGGGTGTATGTGTTTCTTTCTCACATCGATGTTTCTTTTTCTCCCTTCCTCTCTCTCTAAAATCAATAAACGTATGCTCAGGTGAGGATTGAAAAAAAAAATCAGTGTTAATAGAATAAAATTTTATGCAACAATAATACCTAAAGTGTCTTTATTATTTAGGATGTACAAGTTAATTTAACCTCAAATTGTTTCCTAAAAATACAAATGTAGAAAACTTACTGTGTAATTGAAAATTGTTATTTTTTAAAAATTTTGGGGAGTGATCTTAGCCTGTCCTTCTCTATCTTGAAATTGAAAATTCTCCTTTAGAATATTTTACTTACCCCCAACACCAACCCATCAGATTAACAATGGAAAAGATATAAATGTTGATACATAAGTTCATAACCCATTATTCAAAACAAAAAAAAAGGAGCTTTTACGAATCAAAAACTCTGAGGCAACACTAAATAAGGAGGCAAATTGGAGCCTCAGAAAGCAGTACACAGCGCTGCCACTCTGCAGGGTGACGTCCGTGCCATTACTGTACTGTCACCCAGGGCCTGCCCCATTGCTTCTGGGCTGACAGTCACTGCAACTGCCTCATTAGTCTCCTCCCTGAGTCCCACACTGCCACCTAATGGCCACTATTGTCATTGCATGGCCAATGACAAGACCAGGAGCCATCACAGCCCAGAACAGGTATAGAACGCTCTTGGAGATGAGACTGCAATCAAGAATTACCAAAGATACAAAGAAGGCAAAGTCCATGAAAGAGGGGCAACAAATAAAGAACCTACCCAAAGGAAATAGTTCACAGAACAATCAGGAAAATTTCTTAAAATGCATGTGTTTACACAACCTGAGTTAATGGAGTGAAACACATCTGTGCAGTGAAAATAGGCAGTTTGGGAAGTTCCTACTGGAGAAATGTGAGAGTCAAAAGTGAAACAAAAGGTCACAAAAGGTCAACTAATGAATGCATAAATAGGTGGAACACTCCCTCTCTCAAACTTAAAAAAGAACCTCTTAACAGCTTAATGAGAGCCCTAAACTGGAGATAACCTCAATCTCCATCAGCAGGTAAATAAACAAACTGTGGAAACCCATACAATTCCTACTCAGTTCTGAAAAGGAACAGACTGCTGACACTCACAAGGTGGGTGAATCTCAAAAGCATTGTGTTGGGTGAAAGAAGCCACACCCCGAAGAGCACATACTATAGCACTACAGTGACAGCAAGCAGATCAGTGGTCACGAGGACTAGGAATGGGACACTGATTGGGATGGAGCACAAGAGAACTTCAGGGATGGTGGAAGTGTTCTTAATCTTGATTGTGGTGATGGTTACAAGTGTGTATAAATTTGTACACTTTAGTCCTTCCCACCTGCCTTCCCTCCTCCCTTCTCCCCACCCCCTCCCTTTCTTTTTTTCTGCAGGAGAGTGTTATGGATGCCTGGAGATGTGTCTGAAGAAGCCAGGGGGTCTAATATTTGGACCAGCCCCTGTCCTCCCCTCCCTCAGCTAAGTCTGCGGTCCCAGGGCTGCCATGTGGGGCAACTCCATGGGGCAAGTTCATAGTCAGTTCACAGGAGCAGCACCCCCTGGAGTTGTGCCACTGGGGTTACAGCAGCAAACAAAACACACAAAAACTCCTGCCCTTGGGGAATTTACTTCTCAGGGTCAGAGACAGCCTAAGATGGTATGAAACATTAAATAAAACAGACTGAAGATTCTAAGTTTTGACCTCTGTCAAGGTCTAAGAACTCTGCGGACTCTGTGAGTTCCAAGTTCTATGACATTCTAAGTTACGAGTTCTACGGAGGTCCTACTAAACATGTTACTGATGACAGTGGGCAGCGGTGAGGACGGTTGTCATCATAGGAGCTTAGGGACCAGCCTGGGGCTGCCCCAAAAGGAACCTCTTATGGCTGAGCCCAAGAGGCGGAGATGGTGGTGTCCTGCCATGGGCAGTGACTGAGGAGGCAGGAGAGAGCCAACCTGACCGAATCCCAACAAGCCGAAAGCACCTGCCCCTTTGAGACCCTGTTCCCCAAGTCCTCCCAGCTCATGTCCAGCTAGAGGCTAGGGGGTCACAGGCCAGGCCAGGCGAGGGGCACAGGCTGGGACTGAGCCACCTTCCTCCCAGCTGGAAGCCAGAGCTAGGGTCTTCTTCCCAGAGTCAGGACATGTGAGGCTTCCTCGGAGAGGTGTCCCTGATTGAAAAGGGAAGGGAGACGTTGGTCCTGGAGAGCGTGCTTGTGTGCGAGAGTGAGGCGGGGGGTGCAGCCAAGGAGTGCACGCTTGGTGGAGGAGCAAGTAGGGGCAAGTGTTCAAGCGAGTATGCCAGCTGGGCCCTGGGCCTTGTTCACCTGGGCCGAGGAGAGCAAGCCCACAGGGCTGCAGAGGCCGACGGCCAGAAGCAGTGGGCCTGGGGAGCCCCCAGGCCAAGCCTGGTTAGAGTGACTTCCTCTGCGCCAACCTAAAATCTACCCAAGCTGGAAAGGCTCCAAGTATTTGGAAGGTCCCAGGTAGGTCAGGAGAGATGAGAAACAGGGAGAGGGAGAGACTGACAAGATCATTGGCTGTGTCTGTGAAAGGGGAGGGAGCCCGGGTGCCTGAGTTCCCAGCCAGGCTTCTTCCATCACTGCCCATCCCTGGCCAACAGACCGGTGCTGCCCAGCCTGCCCTCACCAGGAACACGCACACACTTGCAGGTGCATGTTCACTCTGTCCCCTGATCAGTGGATACGCCCTCTAGACACACCCTGCTGGGAATGATGAGACTATCTGCAGGAGGTGAGAGCTGTACACGTGACAAGGGAATGTGGCCCCAGCTTAAAGAGAGCAGCGTGAGTGATTAGCAGGGAGACAATGTGCACACCCACCAGCTGGAGCCTGGCCTGGATGGGTCGTCATCCCACAGCCCTCAGGAGGCTGAACAGAGTGGGGGGTTGGGCCATGAGGAGGGATGGGGGAGGCCAGAAGGTGAAGAAGGGTTAGCAAAAATGATGATGGAGTTAGTGACCCAGTCTGGCAACCCACGCGGTCCCTCTTCATTCTTGATAGCACTCACACTGCAGCCAGGGGCTGGGACGGGGCAGGGGCAGGGGCAGGGGCTGGGGAGGGGAGGGTGTCAGGGTTTGGGCCACGTGCACAAGTGTGGATTGGACAGAGGCATCTTTGCTTTTGGTCTCAGTTTAAGCAGTAACCTCCACCTCAACTCTCACAGCTCCCATTCTGGTGATGGCCTAAGGTCCTTCTGCATGTGGGATGAGCCGTGGGGCTAAACTATTGCTTTGATCCCCTCTACACACTCCAATGTAAAATGAGCACCGCTTGCTCCTGCCCCAGACCCCCTGAGCCCCCGGAGAGACACACTGCCCCATCTTGCCCCAGAAACATAAGACGAGAAAGGCTCTGCCCCGAGTCCAAGTTGCAATTCTTCAAGAGATTTCCGGGGCCTGGGGCACCTTAAGGAAGGTCCCAGCAAGTGGGAAGCAGAAGCCCCGCAGAGTCCACTCCTCCCTCTACCCAGCCGCGGTCTGAAGCCCCACAGTCGCTCCTGCGTCACAGTCTTCCAGCCCCAGCCTGGGTCAGCCTCCAGCCCCAGCCCCAGCCTGTCGCCGGTCCAGGGCCAGCTGGAGGGCCCGCTTGATAGTCTCTACATTGTTCAAAACGTTGTATCGACTCAGGGCCACCAGCCGATCAAACTCCTTGGGCTCATAGGTAAAGTTTGTCATGCCATAGGGGGTGTCTGGCCCGTTGATGTCAAAGTCCCCAGAGGCCTTCTCCTCAGCTGTTTGTCGCTCCACGCCTGTGGGTGGGAAGTAGAGGAGAGCCCAGGCTGGGGCTCTCTCGCTAGGAGCTGCCGGCCCAGAAGCCCCCGTTCCCTAGGACAGCCGGCCGGTTCTTTGTGGGCCCTGCCTGGGTCATCTCTGCTCTCCTGCACATCAGGAGGAGCTGGGCCAGGGGCAGCGCTGAGGCCCAGGACGCAGCGGGCAGCTGTGGCCGGCTCGGGCCGTCCAGGGAGCATGCTTTGCTACCTTATCAAGGGGGTCCATTCTCAAAACAGCACCCCATCACCACCCCAGGGCTCTGTGGGCCAGGCTCAGGCTCAGGGCTTCACCTTACCTGGGGCCAGGTGTGTGCGGAAGGTACGGTTGACCAGGGGGAAGTGCAGCACAATTGGTGCATGGGGGTCCTCAGCCGTGGCAAACAGGTAGCACTCACGGGGTTCCTCCAGGTCCTCAGGAGGCACCTCGATTTTGGGGAAGGGGATGCCCCGGTCCAGGCAGTACTTCTCCGTCACCTGTAAGGCCTGCGCGGGGAAGCAGGCTTCTGACCTGGCCTGCCCCGACCTGGATTCAGGCCGGTCCAGGCTTCTAGGCCAGCTCTGGCTCCTTCTAGCTAGTGACTTCAGGCAGGTGACATAACCTTTCTGAGCCCATTTCTTTGTTTATTAAAAAAAATGAGAATAACTCTCTAGTGGGGTTGTTTTGCAGATGAACAACAATCGCCAGCGTTCTCACCATCATCCTCCCTGCAACTGCCCACTGCTCCCCTTCTCCGCCCCTCCCCGCTCACTCGTAGGGGGCTGGTTTCAATTTCACAAGGTTGAGGCGGGATGATTATAGAAGGTCACATTGGACCCAAGAGGAGGAGGAGGAAGAGGAGGCCAAAGAGGAAAGAGCTGGCCCAGCAGCATGAGTAGAGCCCACATCCAGATGGTGAAACCTGTCTACCACCACACAGGGTCTGAGAGACTCCCTGCGGGAGCCCTGATGGCTCTGCTGTTGTCATGGTAACAAAGGGACAGCAGACCCAGACCCAGGCCCTGAAGGGAGAAAGGAATGCTATCAGGCACAGGCAGGGCTCAGAACAAGGGTCTTCTCTTCACCAGGATAGAAGAAGCCTGAGGACCCTCCTCGGCCTCCTCTTCCAGCTCCCACTCCCTCCCATAACCTCAGCAACCCTGTTCTCCAACCAGGGAGGCCAGTGCCACGCACGGGGTGCAAGGTGTCCCCTCCAGCTCAGAGCCCCAGCCCTCCTCAAAGGGCCGTCCCCAAATGCCCAGTCAGGCCGTCTTAATAGAAGATACTCATCCCGTACCTCAAAAGGGGCATCCAGGGAGTAGTCAAAGGACACGATGAGGTCCACCGCTCTCTGCGGCAGCAGGCTCAGCGGGAATGGGGAGTTGATGGCAAAGCCCCCGTCCACCAGGCACAGGGAGTCCCGCATGGGCGTGAGCCAGTTGGGGAAGGCGTCTGGGTGTGTGTCTGTGCAGGGACAAACGCATGCTTTTCTTAGCAACCCTCCTCTCTCCCCATTGGGAATACCCCCCTCTACAGAGATCTCTGCTTCTGCCCCCGTCTCTGACAGCCACTCTGAGGTGTCCCACCCCAGGCCCAGCTCAGCACAGTCCCCCTCCCCCACAACCGATCAGCCTCTAAGCAGCAGGAACCCACACCTCAACCCCAGGTCAAAAGGCAGCACTGGCCCCAGTGAGCCAGAGCCATGGACAGCAAGAGGGCCCCACCCAGAGCAGCACCCACCTTTCCAGGCCACAAACTCCCTGCCAGCCACATAGTCCTTGTGCAGACAGAGGCCACAGGTGAAGTTGAAGTTCTCCGCGGAGCTAACGCGCCAGGTGAATATGTCTAGCACAGCCTGGGAGAAGGGCCCCTGGGGGGTGAAGAGCCTCGTTCGCAGCCTCGTGGGGTCGTGCAGCCGAAGCTTCTGGTGGTCGCCTAGTGAGGGTGGTGCCATCCTTTGTCTGGTGGCCTTTATGGCTCAGGCGGTCCCCCTCCATCTCCTCCTGACACCCCCCTCCCCCTCTGCCCTGCCTCCCAGGCCTCTGACCGCTGCTGCCCAGAGTCTCTTTTAAACAACTTTTTTCTTTCATGTTTTCCATGTTTTAAAAGTTGCCTATGACATTGCATTTATTAAATAATAATTTATTTCCCACCCTTTTGAAAATAAGGTTGTATATACAATTTCCAATCAGAATTTCATATCCATTAAACGCCTACTGAGCAGTTGCTATGTGCTGGGCACCTGCTGGGCAGGAGGGATGCACAGGTGACCCGGGCCCAAACCTGGCCCTCTGGGCTCACACCTACTTATGGGAGAGTCCTATGGAGAAAATGAATCCTAACAATGCCCTGCAGTAGGGACAGCGATGGGCTGGGCATGCACTGTTGCAGGGACCTTGGTGGTCCCGCCCTCATCAGATGGGAGGGATGAAGTGGAGCAGAGAAACTCTCTGACAAAATGGTTTCTCAGCTGGATCTTAAGAGCTGCGCAAAAGTTATCCATGGGAGAAAGGTGGGAAAGGCATTCCTCAAAGCAGAGAGCTCACAGGCCACACAAGGAGCAGGCCGAAGAGGAGCCCTGACGTGTGGGGACGGAGTATCAACCAGATGCCCAGTGGTCCTGGACCAAGTTGACCTAACTGGAGCCCAAGCAGAGAATTCAAAGTCGTTGCCTGATTATAAAACACTCACAGCTCCCACTGGGTTTCCTGACCTGCGCCCTCCCCCAGCCCCCGCCCACACTGCCTCCGCAGTGACCTCGGTTCCTCAGGACTTCCCTGAACCCAGCGGGCCAGCCAGACCTTCCCCATCCTCTCCCTCACTCTCTATGCCTCTGCCAGGGCCCTACTGCTGGAAAGAAGAATGGAGGGGAGTGGGGGTCAGGTCGGAACCCTCACCTGTGATGTTCACACGGCCTCGGTGCCAGTCCAGGAAGCCGAGGCTGGAGCCAGCAGTCTTCTGGAAGATCTCATCCAGGCTGGCCGCAAAGGCGCTGCCCCACATACCTAAGGAGACAGACAAGGCCCAGGCCCTCACAACTCCTCCACCCATGTCGGGGCCTGGCCCGGCACCTGCCCTTCCCCGGCCCTCCAGCTTAGACTCACCCTGCAGGTAGCAGATCCGGGGCTCCGGCCAGAGCTTCAGCAGCCGCCCCATGAAGAACTCGGAGCCAAAGAGCTTGGTGGGGATGTAAGCCCCATACTTGGGGAAGCCAACCTCGTGGGGGGTAAACTCGCACCACTCTGGGGACCCAGAGTACAGGCAGTGTTACCAGGGGCTTCCTGCCAGGACCCCAGCGCTCTCTCTGGCCCTCATGACTGAGTGAAAATTTTTGCCTTGCCAAGCAGGAGGCAGCAGCCCCACGGTGCTCTAAGGTTCCCGTCTGTACCCCGATAGCCTGGCCTCTCACACCCTCTGACCAGCCACCGCCCCGCCTGCTTCCTATGTCTGCACACCCAGGCACCTGCAAAGTCTTCCCCACTGATGTTGGTGTGGACGTTGACACTGGCGTAGATGGGATAAGGGTTCTGGCTCTGGCTGACTGCCTCCTGCTGGTCAGAGAGCTTGGCAGGGTTTTCCTGGGCAGAAAAGAAAGAAGCTGGTTGGCTTTGCAGGAGTTCCCTTATCCCATCCCAATGGCCTGAGGCTGGCACGCTGCAGGGTGTGATGAGCCCACTAGAGACTGTGGTTGCCAAGGCCAATGCTTAGAGACAGCTCTCTAAGGGGCAGACTTTAGGCTGCAGCAGAGGTAAGGCCACTGTGGGTTTTGTGCAATTCCAGAGGCACTGGGAACACCCTTCCTCCTTCTTTCCCATTCAAGAAAGCATCAAAACCAAATAAGTCAGGATGATATTTTTAAAGGAATAACTGAAAACCCAGTCTACTTTCTTTAAAAAGCAAATCACTAGAAAACATCAGTTCTTTTCTTAGAAATTAGAAATAACTTGTGATATACATCCCCAACTGATAACCACACACCAGCGGGCCAGGCCCCCCTAGCTCAGCCCTCACCGGCTCTGAATCGCTCATCCCTCAGGGCATTCTGGGCTTGCAGTTCTAGGAGAAGCCACCAGGAGGCGTAAGTCAAGGCCTCGGCCAATGGGTAAGAGTGGTGGTCTGCCTCAGCGACAGGTTGGAATCACTTGCAACACTTTCAAAACACATGTATGCTAGTGCTCCACCCCAGGCCAATCAAACTCAGTGTCTCTGGAAGTGGGGAGCGGGCATGGGGTGTGATCGACAAGCTGCACAGGTGATTCTAATATGCAGACAGAGCTGAGAACTGCAGAGCAGCCTCTCCCTCCCCAGGGGTTAGCAGCCAAGAAGGATGAGGGGGGCAGCCCCCCGGGGATCTCAATGTGTGCCCCCAGGGAGCTCAGACCTAAGGGATAGCTTTGCAAATTTCAGATCTTAGCCTAGTGGCTAAGGCAGAATTAGGTGCGCAAGGGGCAGAGGTGGAAAGGATCCGTGTTTGTTACCCACTATTCTCTTACCTCCTGGTACAGGAAATACTCAACAAGGAGGCCCCAAAGGTCAATGAGGGAAATGCTGCGACCGCTACTTTCCAGGCTCCCTAGTTCCTGAGCGTAGTACTGGAGGCGCTCTGTGGACACTGCACCCGCCTTGCTGCTGCAGACCCGAGCCCGGGCACGCTCAGTGGGGCCCTGCAAGGCCACCTGGGACCAGGCTGGGTCCTTGTACAGTGTGGAGATGCACCTGGCATGAGAGGCATGAGGGGCATGAGGGGCACAGGAGCACAGCAAAGGGAGAGAGGGATGCAGCTGTCTGTGAGTGACCCCTCTCTCCCTCCACTTGTACCCACTGTCCTGCATCACCCACTCGGAGGTTCCCTGGGGACTCAGTCCCTTCCTGCCCCTTCTAACCCCCTTGGAGGCAGCTCCCACCCAGGACTCCATCAGCTCACCAGGTCGCACCCCTGCCCCTTCAGAGCTCTTCTTTACGATGTACCTTGCTTCTGCCTCACTTACCAGGTGGACCCAGAGACCCCACTCAGGTAGGTCACAGTGTCCAGGAGGCTGAGCTCCTGCAGCGCTGCCAGGCTGCCGTACAGGGAGGTCATGGCACGGGTTCCACCTCCAGAACCCAGCACAGCCACCACAGGCACCTGGGCACAGTGATAATCAAGATAACAACACCTACTACCACTGTCATTTATACAGTACCGCCTATAATGCCAGGCATTGATCTAAGAGCCTTGCATGTATTACCTCATTGAATCTCCACAGCCACCCAGTGAGATCCCAGTTTCACAGGTGAGGGAACTGAGAGGCACAGGAAGGTTAGACAGTGTGCCCACAGTCATGCAGTCAGGAAGTGTCGGGCTAGCAATCCGAAGCAGTAAGGCTCCCGAGATGACTCTTAACCATTACACCAGGAAAGGATGCACCTGCGAGGTATATTGGACTCGCCCAAAACAGATAAAGTGGGGCTTCTCAATCTTGGCACCACTCATATTTGTGGTCCAGATAATTCTTTGCTGTAGGTGTCTGTCCTCTGTGTTGCAGCTACTTAGCAGCATCCCTGGCCTTCACCCAGTAGATTCCAGTATCATCCATCTCCCCCTACCCAGTTGTCACAACAAAACATGTCTCTAGACATTAACAAATGTCCCCTGGGTGGGGTGGGGGTGGGGGTTGACATTGCCCCCAGTTGAGAATCACTAAGCTAAAGTGACAAAAATCACCAAGCAGCCTGGACCTCCATCAACAGGAGAGGCGCCTGTGGGATCAGACTAGAAGCTTTTTTAGTTGCTCAGCTTTTCCACGAAGGTTTCACTCATTTCATCCAGGTTTTTGGTACCTTACTCTGTCCTCCTTCATTCTCCTGTCTTAAACCGAAAATGTTCCCTGGCCACTGTCCAGCAAGGGCACTGCCCCTTCAGAGAAGTGGAGTAGACAGCGCTCCCTGCAGGCAAGGTCCGTGCCCTCTTGACCCTCTACCTACACGGAGTGGGCATTACCCGCACAGACACCCTCGGCTTGCTCAGCTTGTCAGTGCTGGGCACAGGCTCCGTCTCCTGACAACACTTGCAGCCCAGAAAAAGCCATCAATTTGTTTCCAATTTACCGTAGGTCTCACCCTCAGCACTGCCTTTCCTTCTGTCTGCTCTTTTGGACTGAATTGTTCCCAGCCCCTCTCCCCACCCCCGATTCAAACGTAAGGCCCAATGTGATTACTGAAGAATAAATAAAGTTCAGGAAAAATGAATGGGGTCTCTCCCCAGCCTTACTGCTAAATTATTCACAGAGCCTGAAGCTTGAGGAAAAACAATGAGTCTATCCTTGACAATTGAACTTTTAAGCTTGACTAAAACTCTCCAGTCCTGCGTTAGACATAACATGGATTATCATCATCAGTACAGCACGCATGGGTGGCATGGACTCCAGCCAAACATATGACCTCCTCAAAGAAAACTTCTGTGTGACCAGACTGCCTGAGGCCTCACTTGACCACCTGAAATCCATTATCATAATTACTGATATAGATCATACATCATAATGGCCTCATCAAATAGCTAAGAATGTAGGGCCCCTTTCTCTTTTATGATTCAGTTACATCATAAAAGCACATGATTTTTCTTTCTTCCTCGGGACATTTCTGGGTTTATTTCACTTATGTTTCCCATTAGCAAACTCTGAGACCCTTGAATAACCTCTGTCATTTATGCGTATTTCTAGCCAAAGCCTTTTCTTTTTGATTACACACAACAGTATATTTGGAGAAAGGGCCTGTAAGGAGGTTATGTGAGGTCATAAGGGTAGGGGCCCTCATCTAATGGGACCGGTGTCCTAGTAAGAGGAAGAGATGGAGATCGCCACCCCCTGCACTTGCACAGAGGAAAGGCCACACAAGGATACAGCAAGAAAGTGGCCATCTACAAGTCAGGAAGAAAGGCATCGCCAGAACCAACCCTGATGTCACCTTGATCTTGAACTTCCAGCCTCCAGGTGAGAAAATAAATTGTTGTTTAAGCCGCCCGATCTGTGGTGTGCTGTTATGGCAGCTGAGCTGACTAATTCACCTTCCTTGGCCAGGCTATTCAGCCGTCATTACTTATGAGGTCCTGACTCTTCCTATCAGCTCTGGTGAACAGGCCTGCCCACTTCCTCCTTTGCTCCCCATACTTTCTCTAGGCTTCCTGTCACATCTTAGTCACATAGTCCTCTCAAGGGGTGAGACCAGATTTGGTTCTTGTGATGCTGGGGTGTCCTCCATTCCATACCTGGCCACTGTCAGGAGCCTGGCTCAATCCCAGCACCCGCTGCAGCGCCTTGGAAACGATCTGCTTCCTCTTGTCCAGAAACTCTCGTTCCCCATCACAGAGATCAAAGCCAAGGCGCAGGTCAAGGTCCCCAGAGCTGCCTCAGGTGGGGTGGGGTGGTTTGGGGTACTGAATGACTGTTTGGTGGAGGAGAGCCTCGGGCCAAGCCAGGTTTTCACAGGAGCAGACCCACACGCCACTGAACCTCTCAGAAAGATCCCACCAGCTTCAGAAACGCCCACCCCCTCCACCACCCCCCAGTTGAGCGGAGTAGATGAGAGAACCCCGACACCTCCAGCCTAGTCCAAGAACCTTCCTCCCAAAGTGAGCCTTTCTCACCTCATTTCTGCCTTCACACTCAGAGCCACCTCCTGGCCCTGAAAGAGACAGCAGCCATCCGTCAGCATACTGGATGGGATTTTCTCACCTGCGGCCACTTTTTTTCCAATAACTCTGGCCCAGATGTGAACCGTGGCTGAGCTACTGGTCTGATCTTAACCTCCCTCCCCCAGACCTTTTTTTGGTGGTCACAAAGCAGGCTGGGGTCCCTCAGATGCCCAGACTAAACCGTACCTTCCCAAGAGCCACCAAGCGCTGTTCCTCCTGACCTAGGGTCAGAGAGGAGAGCAGGATGCTCCCCTCGCCCCAGTTGCTGTTCTGATCCTCCAACTCAGCACTCAGGCCACTCTGCAGAGAGGCAAACACCATGTAGCTCCCCAGGGCGAAGGAAATGTGCCAGCGTGGCAGCCCTGGGGCGCAGCTCAAGCAGGACTGATTCCATCGTCAGCCTCCCCCAGCCTCTGGGCTCACTCACCTGCAGGATCGTGAGCTTCTCCAGCAGCTCCACTTCCAGGCTGGAGTGAAGTGCTGGATTCACATGGAAGGTAAAGGTGGCCGGGGGGCTTGCCTCCACGGGAGGCTGCAGAAGCAAGAGCTGTGGAGTCTCGTAGGCACCAGGCACTGCCAGCCGGACCTGCCTGGAGCCTGAGGGCAGCGGGGAGAGAGAGAGACTGATGGTAGCACCCCTAGTAGCAACTCCTCTTTTCTTCCCCTTGGAAATACCAACTCATCACCCTGCTCACTCTCGGGCACTGTGACCCATAGCAAAGTCATCATGAAGGACACTCAGGGCCCTATAACGTGCCCTGGGCAGTATTGGGAACCCGGGTGAGAGTGGGAAACATGCAATGCCTAGGAGAGGGGGAAAGGCAGGGAGGGAGGGCTAATGGGGCTGATGATTTTGAGATTATTATATTAAGTATATAAAATATAATTTTTGCAAAAATTGTATTATAATTGTCATATGTTAATTATTACATCGATTACCAGTTTTCCACCGGCAGTTCCCCTCTCTCTTGCCCCATTCATCCTCCGTGCTCTTCACCCTTTTGTGGGAGGTTTGTGGCCAGGCCACAAGTTTTTCAGTCCTTTGTTTCCAAATAAGTTCTTGGGAAAATGCAGATGGTTTGAGGAGGAGGTAAAAGAAAGAGTTTGGCCCCGGAGCACAGAGAGAATAGGTGGCTTGGAGAAGCAGGGGACAAGCCAGCCCAGGCTTCAAGGTGAGTCCAGGCTGGGAGGAGGCGAAGAGAGCCTGAGGCCCAGGAGCAGCAGGGCCCGCCCTGTTCCTAGCAGCGTTCTGGGGTGGGGGAGGGAAGACCCCAGAGAGAAATGGCTGAGCAAGACACCCAGGCAGGGGGCCCCAGAGAGCCTCATAAGAGAGCCCCCGGCCCCAAACACCTCAGAAGCAGAGGTCCACGTGGAATTCCTGTCCCTGTACGTACTCCTTGGCATTAAACGAGACCTGGAGACTTGACCTGAGCTGGGGGTTGTGGATGAATTTGAGAAAATAAGTATACTTTTTTCATACCATGGTTTATGGATTGAGATTGATATACATGTGCTGTTCATAGCGAGAAGCAACCAAATCCGGTGGAGAGAGCAGATACCCTGGAGGGTCACTGACCTGAGTTTTGTCCTGGCTCCACCACCCACTCACTGGCTGTGTGACCTCAAGCAAGTTCTTTCAGCCTCAGTCTCATCAATTAAAGAGGATAACTACTGTACCTACTTTACCAGGTTGTTATGAGGATTAAAGGATAAAACACGTATCAAACGCTCAGCCGAATGTCTGATTCAGTACCGCTCAGTGTCACCTGGGCACGACACATCCTATAGACTCAGCCTCTCCACATTGGAGGGGCCTTGGCTGTCTCACAGCCTCTGTTCCACTTGCCACCGGGCCCCTCGTCCCAAGCCGATGTCTTCGGTGGCAGCTGCATGCAGGGGCCCGGCTCTTCACTTCTCCTGCAATGCTCACTCTTTACCACATGACTTCAGTTCCTCCCACCGAAAGGCTGACTAAATTCCATGCTCTCCGTCTTTAGGGTCAGCCTTGGGACTTGTTTTGCTAACATAATGTTGGTGGCCGTGACTCAAAGGCTTGAAAAGCACTTGCTCATTTGGGCTTGTTCCCTGGCGCCTCTGTCCTAAGAATGTACCCAGCCTAGTCCACTGGTCACAAAGGTGGATGACGGACACACGCTACAGAGCCAGGTCACTCCCATCAACCCAGCCTAGATCAGCCCAGCCCCAGCCGACCAGCTGGTGTGGGAGCTAAGTGAGTGCTTCCTGTTGTCTGCTACTGAGGTTTGGGGGTGTTTTTGTAGAGCAGCAGTTGGACTGATACAACTTCTATGCTTGAATACTTCCAGGGACAATCCTTTTCATCCTCGGTCAGCTTTAAGCAGTGAAAAATTTAAAACTTTCTACCCAGACCCATCTTCTTAAAATCACAGCTGGCTCAACACCCCAGGAGAGAAGGAAAGACCCAAGGCCGCTGGCCAGACTCACCATACATCCCATGTGGAGTGGTCTCATCTCCCCCAAGGGTGCCCTGGATTCTCAGACAGGGCTGAGCCTGAGGAAGCAGAGGACTATGGGAGTCAGATAGTCACAGGACCTGAGCTGGGGTCAGGGGGAAGGTAAAAGGGAGAGGTATCGGGGGCAGTGTCCAGATAGCAATCTTCCTAGGGCCCATGACTTGTAGGCAGGGGTCTTCTGTAGCTGCCTCCCCTCCGAGGGCTCAGAGGTGGCCCCTGGCAGGAAAGGGAAAGGAAGCAAGGGTCCCTGACTGTGGCTTCTTTGGCGGTCTCAGAAGCCAGGGTCCCACATGAGCGGTGTGCTGTGCACAGCGGGTAAGGCTGTCCACTTAGCTGTGAGGCAGTTTCTTTTTCCTTGTTGCTGGAGATGCCTACTCAGGACACCTCTGCTCTGAGGAGGGGTTGAGGGTCCTTCAGAGAGGCGAGTGGGTGGGAAGGGCTCAGTCGTGGACTCCTCGATGCCTCCCCAGCCCCGGGCAGCCCCATGCTGGAGTCTTCCCTACTTACCACCAGAACACCGTTGGTGATGACTTCAGGTGCAGGCACCTGGCTGTGAAGGATGAAGGGCTCATTGGGTATCTGGGCCCCTCAAGGTGGCTATTACTATAATAATGTGACCAAAATAGTTGGAAGAGCCTGGGGAACATGGCAGGGTTGGGGAGTAGGGGTGGGTGTTGGCCAACACTCGAATGGGTGTCCAGGCCAGGACATCCCCTCTCAGGCCAGGCCAGCCCAGGACCTGGTGACTGACAGCTGGGAGCTCTCTGTGATTTCAAAGTAAACGGGACTCACCTCTTCTCCAGAACAAACTCCACCTGTAGCTCTTGTGAATCCTAATGGAGGGAGCAAGGAAGCACCAGCTTTCAAAGAACTCAGAAAGCCTCAGGGGTCACCCCGCCCCCCAGCCCTGCTCAGCTCCAGGGACTAGAAGGAGAGACTGTTGTGGCTTCTCTGGGCTCAGGAAGGGAAGTGGCATCTCCATGAGAAGTTGCATTCATTCAAAACTGTGCAAACACTGTTCTAGACACTGAAGATTTAGCAATGATCAAGACAAAGCACTCTGCCCTCAAGGATCTCACATGTTGGCTCTACTCGGGGGGAAAAAGTGTGTGAGGAACCCCTGGTGGGATCAGTGGTGCAGGAGGGAGGCTCTGTCGTGGAGGCCTGATCTGCTGACTGGGAGCCCCGTCCTCAGTGCCCCGTGCTGTCTGTTCTCTGTTTGTGCTCAGCTCACTGCTGGCGCAGATGGGGCAGCTCACCTCTTGGCTGAGTGGGAAGGTGTGTCTGTGGGGTTGGCCAGGCTTGAGGCTCTTCAGGTCAAACAGCAGCACGGAGAGTTCATCACTGCTCAGGACGTCCTTGTCATAGAGGGTGAGCTCCAGGACATTCTGGAGACAGGCAGGCAGGAAGTGGGAGCCTGCAGCAGGGCAGGCTCCCTGAAGGAGCCCTCTCCCTCCGCCACCCTGGCCCCTCGCTGGCCCTTACCTTCACCGCGCCATGTATCTGGTAGTGGAAGGTCTCATTCCACTCAGGGTCACTGCAGTTGGCTATCACCCTCGTCTGGGTGCGGCTGGGAGATGCTGTGGGCAGCCACAGTTGCACATAGCAGTCGGCTTTGGACACTGTGAGTAGGATAGGAGAGGGGTCCTAGCTTCAAGCTCTTACAGCGGAAAATGTTGCCTGGAGGAGGCTGGGGTGGGAGGGAAAGGAGCAGAGCTAGGAGAGGAGGCTGCCCACGTTTTGTGGGGCAGAGATGAAGGGAGAGCCCTTATCCTTGATCCCATCTCCACCAGTCACACCTCCCACTCAACTGAATGGAAATCCTGCAGTGGCCAGTTGAAAAGATCATGTGGCAGCACAGACCATTGCGTAACTAAATCCCAGCAGGGACTTGATTCAGGTGACAAACTCCCCTCCCAGGGTGAGCGCTAGCATGGAGAGTTCGCGGGCAGCAGACGTTGACTTCTGGCAACAGCAGGTGTCACACACTCTCCCAGGCTGTACCGCTCTACTTGTGAGACCCAGGGAGGAGTCGGGTCTACACAGTGCTCCCCTCCAGCTCCTGTCTGCCAGCCCTGGGGCTGCAGCCTGGGATCCCTCACCTCCCTCCGCAGGCAGCACCAGCCCCTCTGCCCCACTCCAAACACACATGTGCTTCAGGCCCACCCCGGCTGAGCTCTGCCAAAGGCTCTGGGGAAGGAAGGGGAGAAGGCATGGAATTGGGGGTCACTCACGCAGGTCTGAGCCCTGGATATTTCTGGCCCTCAGCACCTTCACCTGGAGGTCATAGGATGGGTGGGTTTCCCGCTGAAACAATAGAAATTGGGGAACTCACTTCCAGGAAGCCAGGTGTGGGGCCTGATCTCCTTGCAGTGGTGCCCAGTTCAAGCTTCCCCGGTCCCATCACGGAGCAGCAGCCTGGCCCAGGAGCACGGACGCTGCACTGCCTGGGACCTGGGAGGCCTTGGCAGGGCAGGCTTTGGAAGTTCCACGTGTTGGTACCAAGCCTGGAATCATTCAGGCTGGCTTTACATCTAAGCTCCACCATGGACTAGCACAATGGTCTCGGCAAGTTATTTGGTATCTGTATGCTTCCGTTTTCCCATCTATAAAGCAGAGCTTACGATGATACTCTCATAGGGTTGTGGTGAGTTTTCAATAAGAAGTCATATAAAGTGCTTGGCCTAAGTGCTTAATACATGTATTCATTTTTTGCTGGTTATAGTTATCATGCACCATACACTTGGTGCCTCCTTCAGACCACAGGGCCACTGCTGTAGCTTGAGAGCTGAATGTTAGAAGAGAAAATTGCGATCAACCCCAACTACTCACTTCCTGACAAAGGGCAGATGGCCTAGGAGGCTGAGGGCAAGTGAAAGGAAGCTTGTACTTGTCAGGTGAGTTGCTAAGAAGACTGCAGCTCGAGCTCAGGAGAGATAACAACAGACTTTCGACCCTTGGGAGTGAAACGATTTCCTCAGAACCCAACGGCCAGGCCGGGGCGTTCTGGGCAAACCCAGCTGGCTGCGAGGGCCACATGGCCTAGCTCTCCATTCCTAATTGGGGGGATTATTTTCAAGAGCCAAGGCCTTAGCCAACTTCTCTAATTTAAACTCCCTCAGGTTGTCTGGAGCAAATTGGCCCCACCCCAGGTCAAAACCCTACTCCCGGGCGGGCCTTGGGCTTCACAGGGGACTGAGCTCCCAGGGCCCCTCTGGTGCACATTTCCAGGGGAAGATCAGGTACTTTACCCGCCAGTGACTCCACTGAGGTCCCCAGTTCTCTCTCTTTCGCAGCCATACTACCCCCAGGAGGGGCAGCCCCTTGCTTGCTGGCCACCTTGGCCAGAGCGCCCAGAGCATGGCTGGGCAGTCCACTTCCCAGCAAGAAGCCGCCTGCTTTCCAGAGCCACCTTGCTCTCTCCTGGGTACACTCACTGCTAGTTCAGCTCTGACTAAGCTAGTTCAGGTCTGACAGGTAGCGCTGGGGTGGGGAGGGTGGAGCTGGCTGCTGCGCTGAGGACCCAGGACTCTGGCTGGAGGTGGGGTTTGACAGGCTCCAGGAAGTGACTGGAGCCCAATTTCCTCAGGCAGGGGGCACTCTCGTTACCAATCACAGCTCCTGGTTATCATTCGGTTGCTTAAGGAAAACATATCTGAGCCCACCCAGGTGTTCTTATTCCCAACAAGCCTTCTAGGTGATGCTGACTGTGGCCCAGGGGACAGCAGCCAGGAGGTGTTGCATCAGGCACCCAGTCCCCTCCAGCCATCAGTAGAAAGCCCAAAACCAATACCTTTCCTTCATTTTTTTTAAAGTATATTTTATTGATTATGCTATTACAGTCATCCTATTTTTTTTTCTCCCCTTTATTCCCCTCCACCCTGCAACCCCCACCCCTCCACCAGCATTCCAATACCTTTCAAGTCCCAGAAGCATAGAAATCTCTTGTTCAGTGATTGATTTGGACTCCAGGGTGTTCCTCATCTCTCCTCACCTCCCTCATTTGTTCTCTGAAGAGAGGCTGCTGTGTGCAGGACCTGCTCCAGGCCTGGAACCAAAGACAGGGAGGGCCCATCCCTATCCTGAAGAAGTTCATAACCTCATGACTCCCTGTGGCTTCTGCCCAGGCCCTCTTCCTGAATCAGTGTAAATACTTAGATGGTCCAGTTACATAGGAAGAGATATGGTCAAATGATATTGATAAGGGCAGGTAAGAAGCAGGTCTGCCAGTCCTTAAGTTAGTAGAGGTAGTTGACCTCTGCCGACCAACGTAAGCCTTAGGCTGCAGTTGGTATGGGATGTCCCCCTTTTCTGTAGACCACAACCATCTAGGTGGCCAAGACAAGGCACAGTACCTGAAGAGGAAGGCGTCTGTGGCCAGTGAGCTGTTGGAAGATAGATTTCTGTTCCTTACCCAAAACCTGGCTGTCTTCACTCTCCTCCCCAAGGCCCCGGGTGGAGACCAAAAACAAACAAAAATCTAAAAAAGATGATTCAACTTCAAAACAAACTCTGTAGGCAAGTTCAGACCAGAAACTCCAAGAATAGGGTATGGTATTGTTGGCTAAACCCCAAGCAGAGGACCTGTTTCTACTAAATTTGGAGCATGAAGCCAAGACCTGTGCTGGGGTCTCAAAAGTGCTAGAGTCCAACCCCTTCGGTGACCTGTACACGCAGCACGTGACCCACAGATGCAGAGGAGCCTGAGGGAGGGGCATGAAGGGAGCCGGCCTGGCGTAGGTGTCCTGACCAATTTGCGTGTTCTGGGCTGTGCCACATTCTCCTGGAAGCCATCTGCCCATGCCTCAGTAAGGCCATGCCTCTTAGTTCCAGGTGTTTTCCATCCTGAGAAAACTTCGGATGGCCACAGAAGGCTCAAGGGGGCAAATAAAGGACCAAAGGACCTTTTTGGAATTGGCCAAAGTGGACCAGTATTTTTCTTCTCAAACATTGGTTTTGTCAGTCCTGCCAGTTCCATAGCTTTCGTGACCCTCCCTGTCACATGAGCTGCAGGAAAAGGCATGAAGTCCTGGGATGCGCTAGAGTTCCCCTTTGCGATGCTGGAAATGTTCTTCATCGGTTCTGTCAACACAGCAGCCACACTGCTGTGCTGGACTGCCCAGGTCCAGACGTGCGCACAGACATACTTAATAGTCACTCACTGACTTACTCTCAATTCTTAGCTAAATTAAGATCCTCAGTATTTTCATCAAACTCCACAGGAAGCGGGGAAAAAAGAGACCCAAACAGGCTTGGTTTCTCACTTTATGATGTTTATTATGAGACCTCCATCAGTCTTCACCACAGGGCCTTCATCTCTAGGCTCCTCCACACCACCGCAGAGGGCAGACAGGCTAAGGAAGGAAGACCGGCCCTTGGGAAAACTGGGTCATTTATGTATTCCAGAAAGGGAGAAAACACATCCTTTGTTCTATTGCTTCAAACACACATGCCACACAGGTAGTGGGATTGAAAGACACAAATACAACAGGCCAGGAAGGCAGGGCTCCAAAGCGGGGGAAGGTTTCCACAGCTCAGTGGAGGGCTGGCCTGACAATTTCACTGCTGTTCTGGGGGGAAGAATATTGGTCTTCATGGGGCAAATGGCGCCAAGGGCGGCACTGCTTCCTGTGAGTGGGTGTGGCCACTTGGGACAGTGGCTATTGTGAAGTGCTGCTCAGCATCCAAAACTTGAGCAGAATCCATGTCTGAGAATGAGTGTTGACGGCACTGGCTGTTGTCCCTTCAGATCCTCTACAGAGCATGTGCCTGGGAGAGGCCTCGTCTATAACACCAGCAAGTCGGTCTACAGCATAGGCCCAAAACAGCACAGCATGTCAAGGACGTGCCACTACCCGGGGTCAGTGTTCAGCTCCATCACCCACCTTCACTACCACTAAACATATTGAGGAAACAAGGCTGCAGGTCTGCAAAACCCTGGGAGGCCAGGATGCAGGGCCTCTCTCCACTCCCTCGTGGACCCCAAAGCTGCCCTGAGGGAGGCAGGGTCTCCCCACCACACCAGCACTCAGATTTGTAGGTGAGATATTTTATAAACCCCCGTGCTACTGCTCTTGAGCCCACAGCACTCTCACTGTCCCCGAGCACCTCACAAGTATGCCTGACATCATGTCACGGTCAGTACCTGCTCTGATCATTCCTGCGTGCAGCAGAGATCCACCCACCCACAACATCCCAGCACATCCTCCAACCTCTGCAAAGCAAAGCTGGAGAGGGACGGCCAGGCCGAGCTGCACGAGGACGACACTGGCTGGAAAGAGAAAGGCGCCCCAGCACGGAGCCCTCACTCACAGAGACTAAACCTACCCGCCCTGGCAGCCTGCAGACCGCAGCCTACGAGGCCACACCCCCAGTGCAGTGCTGTCCATCCTCAGAGCTGCTATCACGCTCGGCCCTGAGGGGAGGTGCACCGGGCCCTTTCCTGGCCAAGAATGATGCTCTCCTAAGCTTCCAGGCAGAGCATACAGTCCAAGGAGGACCTATTTACAAGATTCCTGACAGTCAATTATCAATGTATCCCTAGAAGATGGGACTTCCTCTTGCTCCTTTCTGTGCCTTGCTTAAATATTAGTTATTCCTGGTGTCAGAAAAATGGGGAAGAAAGCCTGAGTGGAGAAGTGAGGGGAGAGATACAGGAAGAAAACAGTGAGGAAGAAAAGGAGACTGTGAAAAATAGAGATGAGTCGGGAGGCTCCTGGGGGGGGGGGGACACAGGGTACAGTAACCATGGAGAAATGACTGTCATTAACTAGAGGACAAGTGTTTGGCCTTTGCAGCTAGAGGAGCTCTGGAACTGCTCTCTTCTCACGGGTTCCAGCAGCCACACTGAGGGCTTCTTGTGAAGTCCTGCGTGTGTCTCAATAGAAAACTGAACAACCAACCCTGGGATTACAAAAGCTTGAGACAGTTTTCTTATTCAGGTGATTGGTATGCAAAGGCAAGACGATGCCCATTGTCACCTCCTCCAGTCCAAGCAGGTATTAAACTCTCTGGATTTGCCTGTGACATAATAGCATATAAAGTATTAACTAATCTCTTTTTCTATTAAAAAGCTGGTGACACCAGACCATAAGTCAGATTAATTCAGAGACGTTCCAGGCCGCAAGGTTGCCAGTAGTATCCAAATGGGGAGACACCTGGTGGTGGCGGCAGCCCCCGATTCCTAAGGTCGGTGCCCCCTTCCCTCGCTGGGATGGCCAAGCTGTCCAACGGCTGAGTCCTGGGCATGCTGGGCTCAGGTGTCTGCTGGGTTTACCTCTTTGGAACAGAAGTAGTGCACGACCACTCCATTGGGGTACCGTGCAAATGCACTGCAGGGAAGACAAATGAATTGGGAATGAGGACTGCCTAGAGGCCACTTGTTACCTAGAAAAGGCACCTTAGCTGGGAGCCACCCAGCAGCAGCCCACCCTCACCACAAAGAGCAGCCCGCCCCTGGGAGGGGTGTCCAACCTATGGTCCACAGGCCGCACGCAGCCCAGGATGGCTATGAATGCGGTCCAGCACAAAATCGTCAATTTACTTAAAATATTATGAAATATGTTCGTGATTAGGCGTTGCAATGTATTTAATGTGTGGCCCAAGACAACTCTACTTCTTCCAGTGTGGCCCAGAGATGCCAAAAGTTGGACACCCCTGCCTAGGGTCTCTGGATTTACGCAGCCATCGTCTCTGTCCAATGACTGAACAAAGGATGAGGTCCACGTGCTCAGGCTATTTCTTATTAAGTCATCAATGTGAAACACACAGGCAGATGGGGCTGTACGCCGGCCTGGCTCAGCACCGGCTTACTGAGAGCCAACAATGCTCCTTAGAACAAGTGTCAGCTAATTCTAATGAAGGACAAAGAGTTGGGCCTTTCTAAAGAAAAAAGTTCTTCCAAGTACATGCCTTAAAACAGTATGATCCTGGCTCAGGATTTTACTCAAATCGTGAGGCAGCAGGTTGAAAGATCTTTTTCTTCCTTCAAAGATACAACCTTAAAAGGTAAGGAGTTTCTCCTCACATACAACTCTCACATACGCACTGGCTATATCACAATTCCTAGCTGCCAGAGGGGAAAGACTTTATGGGCAGGAAGTCAACAGCCCCATGCCACACACTTCAGGTATGAACCTTGCCAACCCTGACAGCAAGGCCCACCCCAACAGCACGGCTGCCCTCTTGGGCCTCAAGAACTGAACGTGCCCAAGACAGTCAGCAGCTGTGCTGGCTTCCCCCTTGGGTGAGAGGGCAGGCCCCATCCTGGGCAGGACCCACCCCGGAACAGACCCTTCAGAGGTGCGCAGCAGGCTCACCTATTCCCAATCTTCTTCTTACACACCATGCACACCTTCTCCTCGGTGATGATGCACTTCACCTGCTGGTGTAAGATCCGCTCTTCCTGGACCTGGGAGGGCACAGAGATTGGGGGAGAAGTCCCATGGTCTGGCCAGCAGAGATTCCTCTGCCGGAAACACTTGCTACTAAAGGTCAAGTTGGTTAAAGTTGTGTTTAAGGAACACAGAGGTCTGCTTTTGTCTAAAGGAATATGCGGTGACTGTCTCCTACTAAAAAGCACTAGCCCGCACTAGGGTTGGTGAGGCTCATACCCGCAGGAACTCTGCATGGAGAAGGTTCTTGAGCACCTGGTTGAATCGTTTCTTTTGTGCATTTTCTTCCAAGACTTTTTCCAGAAAGATGCGTATGTCATTAATCTGAGTGTTTGCTGGCAGAAGGTTAAGGGCCTAGGGACAGGGACAGAGATGGGAACAGAGTGAGACAGGACAGGAGTGAGACTGAGGAAATGGCTGAAGCCCCAGAGCTCCAGAACCGAAGTCCCGCCCTCCATCCCCTCCTCGCTCAGCGCTCCCTGCGGGTGCCCCCCTGGGCAGTGCTGACCTTGGTGGTGTCCAGTTTGCTGTGGTGCAGCTCGAGGACCTGCAGGGCCGCCTGGAGGTTGGCTTGTGGCTCCACCAGCTCCAGCTTGATTGGCCCCAGGCAGTGAACACTGGGGGGCGACAGGTACATCCGGAGCAGGGACAGATACACCTATCTCACGGGTACAAGCCACATACGTCAGGTGGGCAGCAACTCCTCCCCACCCCCAGAATGCCCAGCATGACCACGCCTAAAGTTAACAGGGTTGGTCTAGCAGGGGTGTCCAACCTTTTGATGTCTCTGGGCCACACTGGAAGAAGAAGAGTTGTCTTGGGCCACACATTAAATACACAAACACTAACAAAAACAAAAACAAAATCTCATAATGTTTTAGGTAAATTTACAATTTTGGGCCACATTCATAGCCATCCTGGACCGCATGCAGCCCACGGGCCATAGGTTGAACACCCCTGATCTACAGTAGCAGCTCTCATAGAGCCCTTAAACCCATCGTTTTCACCTTTTAAAAATTTTTGGTAAAGAAAGAATCAACTGAAGGTATAAAAAATTATGGATTGTGGTTTCTTTTAGAGAAAAACCAAATGCCTTGTATTTGTTAACCACCGACAAAATGTCAACACTGCAGAATGAATGACTCAGCTCCCTCGTTTCCTTTGGCTTTGGAGGCTGAGACCTTGTCATGTTTTGACAGGTAAGGGTTAAGCCAGGAGGAGATGTTGCATTTCCTACTGGTACCAGTACCACAGGGATCTCAACTTCAGCACTGAACATTTTGAGCCAGATAATTTTTTGTTGTGACTGTCCTGTGCATTGTTTAGCAGTAACTCTGGCCTCTTATCTCCTAGATTCCAGAAATACCCCACTCCCCAGTCATGGCAATAAAAGATGTCTCCAGACATTGACAAATCCATGTGCAACTAGACAGAGCACGTAAGTGCACTTTATCAGAACCATTAGATGTCCCTTCTCAATAGGCTGACCACATAATTTACAATACAAGTCAGGACTATTTGAGAGGAACGGGGCAAGAGTGCCACGCATAATCACATGGATGACAACAGATGCAAACCAGAACTATGCCAAGCACACCAGGATACAGGGCCACCCTGCCTCCCCCTCCATATACACATGCAAATTCATTTGGTGCACTGACCCACGCCCTGTCTTGTCTTAGCAATTCATACAAGTGCCACCTCTGGCCAAACCAGGGGCGGACAGGAATGCCCAGAGGGAGAGAGGAATGCGTGTGCTCCCCGGGGCCAGGGTCACTACTCACATCTTTGTTGCCGTCTTTGTTTTGGTCATAATGCTTGTGGCAGTACCTGCAAGGGAAAAAGTGCTTAGACAAGGCCAGAGGGGCCACCTCTAGAGAAAGAGCATCGATGCCACCTAATGAGAGCCCCAACCAGAGGCCAGCACAGGAGGAGACGCCCCTCTGCTGCGGAGTGGAGGTGCAGTGGCTTTCTTGGCCTCTCACACCTCTCATCTCTCTGGGGGGCCTGCTTTTAGACCCCAAGGGAGTGGGGTGACAGGGTCAACGTACTCCTCCGCCATCTTCGTATCCTTCAGGATGTGGACATAGATGAAGAGGGCTTGTTCATGTTTCCCCATGCGTCCCAGCAGGAGAGCACGTTCCTCTAAGAGACCTGAGGGGAAACAGGCATGTGAGTGACTATCACCACCCCTACGCAAGCACGGGCCAGGGGCTGAGCTGTTAGAGAAATGGATACTAGGGCAATATAAACTGGGAGATAGTATTTTTGTTACTTGGAATTTAGTCAAAGAGAAAATTACTAAAATATTGAAAAAGGGGGAGGGTGCTATTTTAGGAGGTATTTTGTCCCATCTTTTTGTGACCACTTACAAATGGGGCAAGAACACTCATTCAAAAGCCAAATACATAGTAAGCACCTACCATGCGCCAGGCACTTCAAATACGGTAAACACTTTGTTTCTGTTCTCACTGAGCTTACACATCAGACAGATACGTGTCTTTCAGGCAAATTATGCCAGATCACGAAAATTACTAAATGGTAAACGTGGCCAAGAACATGTGCTGAAGCAATAAATAGGTTTCAACCTGGCCATCAATTAGCATGTGGCTCACACCCAGAAGGGACTTCTCAGTCACAGTACAAAAGTAAGTCCTCCGAGGGGACAGAATAGGAACACTCCCCTGAAACACACAGTTTTTTCCAGGCCCAACTTTTTAGAGGGTTGGGGAGCTGGATCAATTTCTGCATTAGCATCAGCTGAAGGGGCTTATGATGCAATCCCAGTACTTACCATCAAAAGGAAAATCACAGATGAGGCGGCCTGGATCATAGTAGCCGGAAATTTCCAAGAACATAAGGAGCTTCCGTCGATATTCTCCCAGCTCACCCTCTTCCTCTCCAGCAGGAACTGGAGTTTTGCCTTTGAGGGGAACAAAGCTCAACATGAAAAGATGCTGTTGGGCAGCAACGTGGGATTGTCAAGAAAAACAAGGGGGAGAGGGTTCAATGATGCCACCACAGCCATCAGAAAGGGCCTCCAGAGTGGTTTGCAGTTGGCCTCCTCTTAGTTAACAGTCTCTACATGGCCCCCAAACATCAGCTTGAGGTAAAAATTAACAATAAAAAGGCTGCACAGAGAAACATTCTGGTAGGCAAACCTGTTTTCTTGAAGACAAATCTGTCCCCTCCCCCTCCCCCAGAGCTGACACCCAGGGATGCTTAAGAGGTGCCCAGATCCAGGCAAGCTGCTGAGACTCGCGTTCTGGGTCACTTGGCTGCCCTGGCTCCTCTGAGGAACTTCCTTCCCTCGGCCCACCACCCCGCACCGGGACTTCCCCCCACCCACCCCCCAGGTCCCACAGAGAAGTCTGCTTCCCTACATCACACACAGCACCCTTGGGTCCCGGCTTGCCTCCAAGGCAGGGACCACATGACCTTCTATGAGAACTGGTACCTGCAGGGAAGGACAGGAGATACGCCTTCATCAGCCCTTGCACCTTCTCACAGTACAGCTGGATCAGGCAGTTGTGGAACCGAGAGCCCGTCTCCTCCCAAACGTGGATGACATGTTCCTGAGGCGAGACACAGGTCTGCTTGGTACCCTCAAGGCTGAGACCCAGCCCAGTCACCCAGTGTCCCTCACACTTTTAAAGCCCAACAAGCCACATCCAGATTGTCCCCTAATTAAGCTGCAAAGATTACCAAGGGACAACTATTCTGAAACCATGAGAAATTTTGCAATACACCCCAGCAATATCAGGAATTCTTTTCTTGATTTCCAATCTAAGCTCCTTGATTAATTTTGCCTCATAATCCTCCAAATCAGCAGATGTAATTAAGGTTAAACATTTGCATTCTGGTACTTAAAACCGATTTGGTTGTCCTGTGGTCACAGTTGAGTCAGGTTCTATAAACATGGCTCAGAAATGTTTTTCTCCAACATCCTTCTCTTGTTATCCCTTTGTCCTTTACCTAGGTTTAGAAGGCATCAACAAGTGACATTTCCAGCTTGGCCCACTGGAATCTCTTTGAGCATGCTGAAATAACCCGCCTTCTTACATCCTACCAATCCCCAAGGGACACAACCCCAATCTGAACCACCTAATAACTAACCCATGAAGCCCTGGATCCTGGGTTCAAAGCTCTTTAGTTCAGACCACACAATAGCTTACCAGATAAGGAATAGCCAGACCCTTAAAATTCTCTACTAAGAAGCCGAGCACTCGGTCTCGTGGCAGAGACTCCACCTCTGGGAGGTCTTCAGTGAATATCTGTTGAAACAAACCCGAGTGCAATGCCGCCAAGAGCACAGGCACACAGGTGGAAGACTTCGGGGCGGGGGGAGGGGAGAGGGAGTGCGAGGCCTCCATAGCCAGTTAGCGTGCGACAGACTGGGCCGCAGGTCTCCTGATCCCCGGGTAAGGCTCTTCCACTACACTGCACTGTCGTCTCATGTCTGAACACCAGAGAAACTGCACACATCCTTTCTCCCACTCCAGGGGTAGAATCAGGCTGACTGTGATGCCAGATAAATCCAAGGGCCTCTCATGACCTACCTTCAGGCCATCTTCAGGGAAGTCTCTCAGCACCCACACTGAGTAGGAAAAAATCAAATGCAGGTTTTCTGTGCCTAGAGGAAAAGTAAGACTTGTCTGCGGGTGAAGTCTCCATTGCCCACAGGTCTGGGAGGGCAGGTGCCCAGGTTGCCCCAGGATTTATTTTCTGGAGAAGATAACTCTGTCCAAGCAAGAGTCACTCAGGGCTGCTTGGTCTGGGCTGGCTACATACCAAGGGGCTGTCATGGTCCCACTGGCTAGGGGACTTTGACCCCAGCTGGTTGAAAAAGGAGGGCGGGCGCTGACCGGCCAGAATCAGAGATGGAGGGAGAGCAGGTCTGTCTGAACACAACCCTTTCCTGACTCCCCTTTCGGAAGCTGGACTTACCCAGATGTTGCAGATATTGCACCGTCCTCTCATGACCTTTCAGAGGGGAGTTTGCTTTCTTGGACTGGTCCACCAGCACCTGCAGAGCTGGCCACAAAGCCCAAGAACAAGGTTATGGGCCTCTTCCAGAAGGCTCACCTCCCCCCACCGATTCATTACCCCTCAGTTTCCCCTCCCCGCCGGTCACCTTTCTCATGGAGCCCCTTCTTCTCGTACAGGATTATCAGCTCACTGTACTTGTGAGCCTTCTTCAGCACGTGCTCACTCTCTTCGATGTGGCAGTGATTGTTCTCCAGGCGCAGCAAGGGGGCTACCAGGGCCACATTCGTCTGCAGAGGAAGCAGGACTTCAGCAGAAACTGCTTCCTGGGCAGCCCACCCCTGCCCCACCGAGGCCTGCTCCAGGCTAAAAGGCCAGGGATTTAGCAAAGGCAAGAGGCAGCAAACAATGCTTTTCTAGGTCTACAGGTAGTGGCTTTTATAGGATATATACTCTTTTACACATTTTAATGTTTTTTTTGCGGGGGGTGGGCAGTGGAAGAAGGGAGTAGTTCCTTAAGGAAGTAACTGTTCACATTGTATCACTAACCCCAATCTTACCAGAGAACACTAGCCCACTCCAAGACTCTGGATCAATACCTGACTTAAAACTCCTAATTCTAAGAAGCTCACAGGCATCAGGCAAAGACTAGGTCGTTCCCATCATCAAAGATTTCCTTGTTACTAACAGCAGGTACCCCAAAGTGGCACTTTTCCAGTTTCGGCAGCCTGGGGGGCTGGGGGTACCCGAACGCTCAGAGAACTCACATGGAGGTAGCACTTGAGCAGGGTGGTGTCAATGATTTGCAGCAGCTTCTTCTTGGACTTGATGGTGGGAGTGCCTTCCATGAGCGGGGAGGTGCTAGACTGGTGATCAGAGTCGTTCAGCTTCTTTACCAACTGGCTTCGTTTCTGCCAAGGCCAAAAATGTGGGATCAAGGCCAGGACTAAACCTTCCTTTGTCATTATCTACTGGGTAGTTCCAAATACCTCGAAATCAGCCCACACCTAGCCACACCCTGATCTCACATTAGCATATATTTTTTTTGAAAGTTTAAATATTTAATGGTCCTTTAAGACTGAAGTATATTTGTAATATATTGCTCAATTATACATTAATAATAATTGTTGCAATTCAACTCAGATGACACTTTTAAGAACAGAATCATTTGGTTGCAGGAAATTTTAAAAAATTAAAAGTGGCATTTCTGTTACAGAGACATGATAGAATGCTCAATGAAAGATCTTCAAGCACAAAATGTATTAATATTAGGATAAAATTCAGTGGAGGAAGTGAAATAAAAATTAAAATTCAAGGAGTAAAAGAAACAGTGGTACGTTTCTTTCTTTGAGAAAGAGCTTTTTAAAAATAATTGAAATCCATAGAGCATTTTTAATGTACCACATACAGTGCTAAGATTTTCCCGAAACAGACTTTCCTCATTTAACCCTCAACAGACTCGCTGTGATAGAATGCCATTTTTCTCATGGATCGAAACAGATGACTGCCAAATTGCCACGTGTACTAACAATTATTTACTGAGCATTTACTACACACCAGCACTATGTCAACCCCTTTATATATTATCCTATTTTAAATTTAAAACAACTGCAGGTAGTATTATCCCCATTTTATAAATGAGGAGTCCACAGCACAGATGTTATGAGATATCTCACAAGCGGCACAGGCATGTTTCAAATTAGGGTCTAATCCTAAGGCCTATGCTTTTATTTTTTTTATATCAAATGTTGTAAGTTATATACAGTAAAATGTACCCCTTTTAAATGCACTCTTAGATGCATTTTGACAGATATATACATGATTGTCACCACCACCTCAGTCAAGGAACAGATTTCTATCACCCCAGAGAGTGCCCTTCCCAAACAGTCCCACCACCCCCCACCCCTCTGACCCGATTTCTCTCACTAGAGTTTAGTTTTTACCTACTCTAGAACTATACACAGTGGAATCATCCACTTTGTGTTATTCTGTGTCTGGCAATGCCCGTTGTCTTATCCGCTTACACGAGGGAGGGAGGGGGGAACTGGAGAATATTATGCTAAGTGAAATAAGCCAGTTGGTGAAAGACAAATAGCACATAATCCTACCTGTAAGTGGAATCTATTCAACAAAATAAACTAACGAACAAAATAAACCACAGGCAAGGAAACATGGAGCAGACTGAAAGTGACCAGAGGGGATGGGGAAGGAGGGCAATGCTGGAAAGAAGCGGGAGGGACTAGACAAAACATGTATGAATGACCCATGGACATGGACAACAGAGTGGGAACTGACTGTGGGAGCGGGGGGTGGGGGTGGGATGCGTGGAGGAGTAAAAAGGGAGAAAAATGGAGACAAATGTAATAGAATAAACATGATTTTAAAATATATTTTAAAAAAAGAAAAAAAATTAAATCTAAATAGTTCCCCTAAAAAAAAAAGTTATAGAGAGATTATATATACTTATTTATTGACAAGGAAGGACTTTCTCAATAAATGGCTAAATATTTTTTAAAAATTAATTTGAGAGAGAGAGGAGAAACATCGCTTTGTTATCCTGCCTATTGATGCATTCTTGGTTGATTCTTGTATGTGCCCTGACCCGGGGATTGGTGTATCAGGATGATGCTATAACCAACTGAGCTACCTGGCCAGGCCCTGAATTTTTTTAAGTAAGCTGTATATTGAGGTAGTTTGATCTCCCTTTGTAATAAATAAACCAATAAATAAATAAATCCTAATTCACAAATACATGTATAAGTCTGGAAGGACGACACTAAAATATAGTTACTTTTCTCTGGGTTCTAGGTAGAGTTATAGGTGGCCTGTAGTTTTACATTATACTTTTCTGTATTTTCCAAGTTTTCTGCATAGGGCAGGTATTGTTTCCAAAATTATGTATGCCACAAAGAAGGTTGTTTTAAAAAACCTACTATTTCCTATCAACTAAAATATACTCTTTTTAGTTGCTAAACAACTTAGTGTAAATTTACCAGGAATCAAGTGTGTTTCCTGGTATCAGGATTTGGCAAAAGGCACCTCAATGGTACTAGCAAGCAGGGAGGAGCAGCAGAAAGACACTTCGCCCACCCAGACTTCCGCAGTGTTCATTTGTGGAACGTCTTTGGCATTACAGAGGGCCTTCAATTCCCTGCTGTAAAGAAGCAGGTACTGGCCTCCCAAGTACACTCTTTCATACCCCTCTCTGTTATACCCACCTGTGTCAGGTAGTCAATCAGAGCTAAGTGAGCTTTCTCCAATTCGGCCCCGGAGAGCACAGGCAAGGGGTTTGGATACTGCAGCTGCTTCCTATAGTCTGTGGGCAGCAGGTCTGGGTACAGGCCCATCACATGAGTAGGATCTATATGAAAGGTAAACACATGATTCCTCAGAAAGAAGCACAGCAATTTAAGGATTAATAGTGGGTTGGCCCAAAATTTTTCGTTTTTTCCCCGTAAGATGGCTCTAGTAAGTTGTCTTTAACGTCATTTGAAACAATTTTGTTAGATTGTATGGTGATAGCTGTCATATCAGCGTGCATTTTTAAAAAAGCTTATCAAAATTGGTGAATTTTTGTGTAGCCATTTTAATATTTAAGATGGAAGAAAATATGCAACATTTTTGGCATATTATGCTTTATTAATTCAAGAAAGGTAAAAATGCAACTGAAACACAGAAAAAGATTTGTGCTATGTATGGAAAAGGAGCTGTGACTGATTGAATGTGTCAAAAGTAGTTTGCAAAGTTTTGTGCTGGAGGTTTCTCGCTGGATGGTGGTCCACGGTTGGGTAGATGGACGAGTTGAAGTCGATAACGATCAAATCGAGACATTAATTGAGAACAATCAACAATACACTATGTTAATACTGGATTGCCTAAGAGGTCCATTTAGTTTTTTATATAAAATAAAAGACACATTTTTCATTTTCACCAATAATTTTACTGATTTGGATATTTTGAGTTATGTCATCTATCTCCCATGTGGTATAACATTGATTGTTCTCAGTTATTGTCTCAATTTGATCGCTGTCAACTTCCACTGGTCTACCTGACTGTGGAGCACTGTCCAGCAAGAAAACTTTATACCCAGTACAAAACTTTATAAACCACTTTTGACATGTTTGCTCAGTCACAGTACATACACTGCACAAATCTTTTTCGGCATTTCTGTTGTGTTTTTGCCTTTCTTGAAATAATAAAGCATTGCATGCTGAAAATGTTTTATTTTCTTCCATCTTCAATATTTAAAAAAATTCACCAATTTTAATGTTTTTAAAAAATGCACGTGGATATGACAGATGCCATCATGCAATCTAACAAAATTGTTTCAAATGAAGTTAAAGACAACTAAGTGTTATTAGAGCCATCTTATGGAAAAAAACGAATGAAATTTTTGGCCAACCCAATATATTGGTCTCATATGATTTGGTCAGGGTCAGCCTGCCATCATCAGTATAATGATCTCTGCAAGTATTAATAATACCCGCCACTGGACCAGAGGACCAGACCTTAGACCAAGGTTAGTCAACAGAAGTGCTGCCCAAGAGGCCCAGTCAATAGCCAGCTGCCTCATAGACAACACTGCCACCAACATACATCCTCCTGCCACTGGAAAGGATCCACTTGTGCTTTATCTTTCTTGCTAGACTGTTCTCTGAAAGCAGAATTCCTGTCTAATTAGTTCTGCTTGGGCCCAACAGAGTGTACCGAACTCTCTAGTATATATTAGTGGAGCTCAGTATATATTAGTGGAATGAATAAACTACAAGGTAGTAGCTTCATTAGTATTGAATTAAGTGTCGTTATATGGACAAAAGAATCAAATTACTACAGAAGTTCTATCTTATTCCAGTGTCTTTTCAAAGACCTGGTGGTACACTGAAAACAAATGCTTCAACTGAGTTCATACAGAGGAAGGACAGTAGATATTTATGGATTTTAGGTTGCCCAACTTCCATATTCCTTCTTAACAGCCAGTTCCTTCTTCCATGCCAGGTGTAGCCTTGGTGAGAGAATAGTTCTAGGCATCTACTTTTGCCTTCAGAAGCAGAGGAGGGCCACACACTCTTCCCTCCCTCCCTGGGTAGTTAGAGGGAGTGAGACTATGACCTAATCCTGGATAATCGGGTCCCCCTGATCTTGAGAAAGTGAGTCAAGGATGACAAGCAGTGAAGCACACACCAGCACATACCCCGTACTACATGCTCCTCTTGTAATGTGCACACTCATCCATCAAGAAGTGGGTGTGTCACTTGCCTTAAATCTGGAAGGACCCTTGTAGATCAATATAATATGGCAGAAGTGACAGTCATAGAGGGCAATAAGGCTTCCGCCTAAGCCTGTTGAATTGCTCACTCTGGGACGAGCCAGTCACTCTGCATGAGGACACTCAAGCAGTCCTGTAGGAAGGCCCACTCGGATAAGAACTGGGGCCTCTGGCCCACAGCCAGCACCAACTTGTCAGCTATGAGACCAAGCCACCTTAAGCACATCCTCTAACCCAGACTTCAGATGACAGTCACCCAGTTGACACAGAAATGCAAACACATGAGAGAACCCCGAGCAAGAACTACCCAGCTGAGCCCTTCCCAAATTCCTAACCAACAGACACCAAGAAAAGTAACAGATAAGTTGTTATTTTAAGCCACTAAGTTTGGGGGTGGTTTGTTACATGGCATTAGACAGTAATATAAGCTGGTAGGGGGCAATTTTTATTGAGGACACAACAACAAGGGAGGTGGTGGCAGCAACAGCGAAGGCAGCGGCTTGTCCTGGGGAGGCCTGCCCAGCCTGCCCGTGCCACAGACGGATTACTATTCGGCTTCCCGGCTCCTGCAGGGAGCTCCTCAGGAGTTCGCTTGGTTCCTGCCATTCCTGAGCCTGGTTCCCCATTAATCTTGTGGGCCTCTCTACTTGCCATTCCCTTTATAATCCAATAAACCATGCTTAATTTATCTAGATACTGTTTAATTTATCCAGATACTGCTTAAATTATCCAGAACTGGTCTCGATTGCTCACAACCAAGAACCTTAACTGATTCAGGGAGTTACCACAAATCGTTACCGGCCAAGGCTGAGGGAAGGTGGAAAAAGGCAACACAAAGGGGAGAAAAAAGGAGGTAATATTACACGGAGTCTAACCGAGTATATATAGATTGATCCTAACTAAGAAAAAATTTAAAGAATACAAAAATAAAGAGTTTAATAATAATAGCAGACACTTAATTGGCACTTAGTAAGTACCACAGACTGTCCTAAGCACTTTACATAATCTTCACAACAACACTGTATCATTATTTGACCCATTTTGCAAAGAAAACTGAAGGCCAGAGAGGTCCAGAAAACCCTGTCGGAGGTCAGGCAGCCTAACTCCAGCGCGTCTGCTTGTCACTACGATGCTCAGTGTTTTTAAGATACTGTTTTTAAGTGTTCTTAAGAAAAGGGGGGCTTCGCAGCACTGCCCCATGCTGGCTCTCAACAATGACCTACTGTTTAATTCTCCTAAGCTCAAGTCAGGGACTTTTGCCTAGAACAGCATGCAATAAATACTAGATTATCAAATACACATTTGTTAAACTGAATGACTTCTCTGTTATCCTTCTCTAATGGCAAGGGCAAATCATCCTGGAAAACTGGAAGTCTATGTATTTATGGGTGAGACCAGATTCATAATATTAGGACTATAAATATGTAACCACCATGATCACCCTCATACCTGTTAGGTATGAGGATCAATTTAGCTGAGAGTAAACTTCCCCCTTTCTCAGAAGTCTGGTGTCATTTCTCCTCGTCCTTTCCAGTTTCCTCTCCCTCCCTTAGTTCCTTGTCCCAAGGCTGCATCCACTTGTTACCTGTGCCAAGCTTAGCAAAGACCTGCATGGACTCATCGAAACGCTTCTGGCAGAAGAGGTTGAAGGCATACAAGTTCTTGATATGATGGATCTGTTGTTGCTTTTCGCTGTCGGAATCATCTTTCATTTCCTAGTAAGAGAATAGAATAGGTGAGAGCTCACTCATTCAACAAATATTTATTCAGTATATACTACTTATTAAACTATATCCTAGGAGGTACAAATGCCACAGTGTAGAGACTGCCACATGGTATCTGTCCTCTGACTACCCTTACAGTCTAACCATAAGACTGATAAGCAATTATGCAACTAAAATGCAACAAGGTTTCTACAAAATATACTCAACCAGTATTCCTAAAAACTACTTAAGTCATAAAATGAAATGAAAGACTAAGAAACTGTCACAGATCAGAGGATACTAAGCACACATGGCAACTGAATGCAATGTTATTTCTGGATTTAAACCTAGAACAGAAAAAAAGGAATATTAATAGAAAAACTGGGAAAATATGAAGTCTAAAATTTAATTTAAGCCGAGGCTGGTGTGGCTCAGTGGATTGAGCACCGGCCTGTGAACCAAAGGGTCACTGGTTCACTTCCCAGTCAGGGCACATCCAGGGTTGTGGGCCAGGTCCCCAGTAGGGGGCGCATGAGAGGCAACCATACACTGATGTTTCTCTCCTTCTCTTTTTCCCTCCCTTCCCCTGTCTAAAAATAAATAAGTAAAATTTTTAAAAATAATAAAAATAAAATAAAATTTTGTTTAAAAACAAAAGCAAAATAGGGTAGGCACCTGAGAGGGTATGCAACTTAGTCTGAGCAGTGGGTCTGAGAAGGATTCTCACAAGAATGTAAACAGAGGCATAAAGAATGAGCTGGACTTAGACAGGCAAGGCTAGCGGGTGACAGATGGTAGGGCAGTCACAGAGTGTGTGCCGAGCAGGGAACAGCATATGTGCAAGGCCCTAAAATACCAGAGAGGAACACAGCGTGCTCAAGGAATAAAAGGCATGTAACACAGCTGGCATAGTTGGCAAAGGTCCTGTTCACCGTTATTTATTATTTTTGTGTCTTCCTTCCAAACTCCTCCCCACCTTATCTCCCTTTTAAGCAATCTTTACTAAATTTAAATTCTTCCTTCAAAATGTCTTTCAATTTTTTCTCTTCCCTGCTCTCCTTTTCTATTGCCATCACCCTAGTCCAGATCATCATCAGCAGGTGGCAGCACCTGGTCTAAGCTCTCCTGCTTGGTGCTTGAAGGTTTTCAAAACCTGGCGCAGCTTCCTTACCTCACTTATTCCCAGACATCGAGGCCATACCCTCCATTCCAGTCCGGGTGGGCTCCAAACAGCCTGGAAATACTTGTTACCACTTCTTTAATTTCCTTCGGCTCTTCATGTTCCCTGTTTCCTGCTCCTGACCTTACCTATCCTTAAATGGTCCAACTTTAAGATGCCTTTTCTAGCCCTCAGAAAATCTGGCTCTTCTCTAACATTTTGCTCCATATTTTGTCAACACTGAAGTTTAGTATATTATTGCCCTCTGAAAGTTGCATATATATTCTTCGATTTATTTAAATAAATGGTTCCGCAATAAGATGTTAACGACCAACCTTGTAAGTACAAGCCTAGAAAAGAGAAGGAAAGAATGGGGACCCACTTCCATCCTCCCTAATAAGATGAAGCAGAAAAACTGCATCAGGAATATCACTGAAAAGATCTGAGACCTTCATGTGAAGAAAAATATTGATACTAAAGAAGCTCCATACCGCATGATACCCTTTTTTATTAAATTCAAAACTAAATACATATTCTAGCACACATGTAAATCTTTTGTTTAATCTTTTACATATATGTAAAAGTTTTTAAAGGCATGATAAGCACAAAATTTTGCATAACGGCTGTGTCTGGAGGGGAGGCAGAGGAATGGGAGGGGGAGAACATATAGATTATAAGTTCTTTTTCTCAGGTAGGAGGGTGGGTTCATGGGTATTCATTAATTTAAAAATAAAAATAAAATAATACAGGGCAATGCCCGAGTAGAAAATAACAGAATGGTAAGATGCTGAAATTAAATATCCCAAGAAAGAAATAATTTTTATGGGATATTAAACGTGTTCAATTATTAAGATTGGATTTTTGTTTCAAATCCAGAACTCATATATCTAAAATGATGTTGCTAGTCAAAAGTATTCACCATGTGACTATAAGCATATGAACACCAAAATTTGTGACTTCTGCTTTCCTTTCAGAAATAATTTACAAGATACTCTAGAAATTACGTTTTCCTACTACTGTCTTTATAAACATTTCTTCTCTTTTACCCAATTACCACCATCTGGTTTAATGACTAGGATAGGCTCAGAATGACCTCTGGTTGTTTCCTAAAATCAAGTCCACCCTCTACAGGTGACAAAAATCACCCCTGGTGGTGTTTAAAAGAACTAGACAAGCCTTGAAAGTCAGTGTCCAAGAAGGTGGCTGGCAGTGGGAGCATCGCTGGGACCAGAGCAGTCAGTACTTTGTGGTGAACATCATCCTACGCAAACATTCAAGGAAAGTGACCATCATAAACATAAAAGTGCAGCCCTGCTGAGTGCAGCAACTTGAGGTGGTAGCAGAGCACTCTTCCAAAGAGCAGTCCCCTGCAGAAAGGGACGCCGAGAGGCTCTCGAGTGGGTGCGTTCAACCACATGTAATCTGACATTTACAACTATTATTTTACTCCAATGTTTGCACCGTAATCTTTCAAAACCAGACCATATCTATGAAGTATTTTATTCTGTTCATTCTATGAGGTACTATGAGGTTATAGTCGACATCCATTCTACATTTGCAAACTCAAAAGAGTGAAATCACTTAAGGTTACACAGATACGCTGTGGCAGGCGTCAGGCCCTGAATTCCAAGCCCTCAGTCTTTCTGGCTCGGTGCTTTTCTACCCGTCAAAACCAAACATGAAAATCTAAACCCAAACTACCTATTTGGAGGACAATGAGAAAGGCAGACTCACACCCAAATCTTAGAAACAAAACTTACTGCAAGCTGCAAAGCCAATTCAAACTGTTTGTCCTGGAGCAGCTGTTGGATTTGGGTTGCCATGGGGACAGGAATGAGTCTCCAAACAAAGTGATTGCTGGCCACATAGATAATGTTTGATCTGGAGGCAGGAGTAAGAATATCAGCAAAAGCAAGGCTTTATGATGAATAGGTGACTTTCAAACATTGCAATATATTTCTTTCTACAGTAAAGAAAGAAATTCCTTACCCTCCTGAGGTGATGAAACGGGGCCTTTGCAATTCAATGCTCTGGACCAGAAGCCTCGGCTCAAGTGTCCGGATTTCCACGTATCGTGGCAACACTGCAATGATGTAGGGAGGCTGGTGCTCTGTGCAAAGGGAACATCTTGAGTTGTAGTTCTGACCTAAGGCTTTATGTTTGTGGACTGTCGGTTGCTCATTTCTAAGCTGCGTTTAAACAGGATCTCCCAAACGCCCACTGGTCAAATACCAAGCTAGGACCCTACAATGTGATATACAATGACAAAAAGATTGTTCGCCTGAGTGATGCTAAGAGAAATCTCTTGCACAGAAAGGATGCACCTAGTTTTGCTGAGTGACCTGATCCTACTCCTACCATTTCCTCCAAAGAACTGGGTGGAAGCTTCACCTGCTCCTTTCTCAGCAGTCACAAAGTGAGGCAAGAGGAGGGCAACTTCTTTTTTCCCTAAAATTATGCTAAAGAAAGAGTTCCACATTTCTGGCCAGTGTTGTTTCTGCTAGAGATTTTCCACAGGGAAGAAATGCAAAACTCCACTTGATGTTTAATGGTTCAGAGAAGGCAGCTGGGTTGTGTTCTCAGTGCAGCTACTTTCTACTACTCCTACGAGGTGTCTATAGTGTTAAATTCATGGAAACTGAAAGTGGGATGATTGCTGCAGGGCTAGGCAGAGGGGCAAATGTGTTGCTGCTTAACGAGTAGAGTGTCTCTCAGTTTTGCAAGATGAAAAAGTTCTAAAATCTGTTGCACAACAATGTGAATATATGTTAACATTACTGAACTATACACTTAAAAATGGATAAGAAGGAAGATTTTATGTTGTTTCTCAGTACAATTAAAAATAAAATTTAAAAGAATTAGTAAAAAATGAAGCTCTAGATAACATAACTGTCATATAGAAATTTAACCTCAAAGAATATACCATAGGCATGGAATCACGGAACAGGCTGAAAGTGACCAGAGGGGAGGGGAGAGGAGAGGAGGACAATGGTGGAAAGAAGGGGAAGGGACTAGACAAAGAACATGTATGAATGACCCATGGGCATGGACAACAGGGTGGGAACTGACTGTGGGAGTGGGGGTGGGATGGGCAGAGGAGGGCAAAGGGAGAAAAACTGGGACAACTGTAATAGAATACCAATAAAAAATGATTCAATAAAAAAAGAAAACTTGAAGGCCCTGGCTGGTGTGGCTCAGTGGGATGAGTGCAGGCCTGCAAACGAAAGGGTCACCAGTTTGATTCTCAGCCAGGGCATGTGCCTGAGTTGTGGGCCAGGTCCCCAGTTGGGGGTGCATGAGAGGCAACCACACATTGATGTTTCTCCCCTCTCTTTCTCCCTCCCTTCCTCTCTCTCTCCAAAAATAACTAACTAACTAAATAAATAAATCTTTTTAAAAAACTCCACAAAACTTGAAAAAGAATATATTCATAAGAATGGTTTCTTACTGTGCTAACTTGCTATGAATTAATTTTCCTCATTATCTATTTTCTGATAAAAACCTTTCATTTTATTTTTGAAATTCATTCTAAATGAATAGTACAATAAAAATGTAAGGTCAGAAGGGAACTCAGAATTGAGCAAACTGAAGCCTAAGTAATATTTCCAACAATTTGAATGCTATTGTTTCATCTTACCAAAAAACAAAATAAAAAAAATGTTGTTTTACATTGGATTTTAAATTTTCTTTTAATGCTGGCCTCATTTTAAAAAGCCTGTACAATTTTCCTTTCTGTTAATTTAATATATTTAATTTATAAATATGGAAAACTTCTGTCCTTTTTTAATCTTAAAAAAAGGCCTAATTTTATTTAAAAAGGTCATCTATAATAGAAACCCTGTTGGCTGTCATATCTGATTTGTTCAGCGCCCCCAACTCTTTGGCAGTGTTTCTCAAAAACAGTAAAGATGGTCTGGATCTCCTTGCATCTTCAGAACTTGGCGGAGTGGCCAGTACAGCAGGCATGTGATAACTGGCTGAAGTGACAGGGATTTGTCTATTCCACGAGCATTTACTAAAAGGCCATGTTTCGGGCACTACCCGAAGTGGATCCAGACCCGAGCCCAGAGCTCACAGAGCTCCCATGTGCGCAGAGGCTGACGACGCACTGCACGCAGTGGGACAGTGTGGGTGCCGTGGCAGAAACCTGAAAGTGCTGTGGAAGCAGCAAGGGGGAAGTGACTCATTCTGCCTGCAGCTCAGAGAAGACTTCACAGAGGAAGTGTCCCTGACTGGGGCCTCGTCACATGAGCAGGACACTGCCGGGTGAGAAGAAAGGAAAAGGCAAAAGCACAGACAATGGCCGTGAGTGGGAGTCCAAAATGACTGGAGCCTGGCTGAAGTAGTCAACATGAGAGCAGAAATATAGATAACGTTTAACATGGACAACATTCTAAGAAGCGTAGTCATCCTCCTGTCAGATGATGATCCTCCCACCCTACCTAGAAAGAGTGTCCTCTCCTTCAATACCTTAAGGCACAGAAACAGTTCTGAGAAACACCGTGGGAGGCCCTGGGAATTAACAAAGGTTTTAACACAGGAATTCTCATGCTGGCGAATGAGAAACACACCTCAAGCATATTACACTCATCTTCATCTAACCTACCAATATTCTTCTGAAAGGAAAACAAGGGGCCCTAGAACATCATGAAGCTTCTCGTGAAGCTCTCAGCCCCTCAAACTCATTAATGCACATTATCTTGGGCCTTATAAAATACTATCCTTTTGACTGATCTTCCTTCTGGTCTATTAATCTCTAACCACCATGAAAAAAAAACTACCTTAGAACCCAATGTTTGTATCTAAATATGCTATCCTTGAGGAATCTGCTGGCCTTTTCAACCTTCACAGGGGCCTCTAACAACTGGCCCTCGCCTTACTCCTGCATGACTCAGGCCGCCTGTTTTAGCCAGTTCGGTCTCTGCCATGCCTTCTCACAAGCCAGCATGTCTTCTACACATCCACTCATTCTTCAAAGGATTCTCTCTACCTAGAGTGAAAGGAAATTTCTCTGTAAGCCAGATCCTAAACTCCCTGCCTGGTCTAGTCTAATCTTACTGATGTAATGAAGCTACTTTCTGACTAATGGACAATGAACTTCCCCTTCCAGAACTGCTGAATCTCAATTTACCCAACTGAATACCTTAAGCAGTGCCTTAAGCAGTTTTCTTTCTTTATCCAAAATTTAATTTTTATCTCCAGATCTAGAGTCCTTAAAATCAGTATGCCCTGCTCCAAAACAGTAACTATTATTTAAATACTCATTCTTCCAACTGACAATACTTTGCAGAGAGCTCAGAGCCTGACGCAGGTGTAAGACAGAGGCCCCTGGTGCAGAGGCCAGCTAAATGTAGTCTGCACCTCTGAGCTACAGAAACAATGGCAATAATCACCAGATATAAAATACCTTCAATACTGAGTTATATGTATTATAGGAATAAATAAGGAAGTTCCATGAATATATGGCAGAAGACACAATAAAACCATTAAAAAGGAACTAAGAAGTAAACATAAGCAGTAGACAATTACTTCTAAAATGTGTAATTCTGTTTAGATTTCTCCCCCTCTCAGGGACAAAAAACTCAGCTTCTACAAAAAACATAATATCCCATTTTTAATAACCCTACAACAGTCATCTACTTATAAGAAGGGGAACTAAGAGTGAAAGCAACTGTAAGCCACAGTCTGCTAAAGCTATGAATGGGATTCCATCCTTCGAAGGTGGTGCCCAACCCCACCCCGAAGTGGGCAACGGCAACTACTGTTGGTCTCACCCATGGCCACTGGTATGTCTGTCCAGTTCAAGGCACATTTCTGTGTGCAGATCCCTTCCTCATTGAGCACCACGGTGAGATCATCCTGACCCACAGCCACTTTTCCATCTGCCAGAGGTGCGACTAACGGCTCCAGCTGTTTTCCTGTTGGGAAGAGCTCTTTGATAGACCCCTTTCCATCCACCTACAGGAAGACACAGAGTGAGTCACCCAGCATGCTCTGGCCGGAGGCATGAACACAGTCTGGAAAAATCAAGATACAACTCAGAATCTACAGAAGCCAATAACAGTCTTTGCATGGCATAAGGAAATAGATAACAAAAAGAATTTGTTATGAAAACTTTTGTCATCACTATATAGAATCAGCTCTCTTTTTCTCTAGCACAGAGATAAGCATCTAGCCTGGCAAATGCTTATCTCTGTGCTAGACAATGTCACATTGTCTAGCAAATAACAACGTCTAGAGCTGGCTGGAATGAAGAGCAACTGGAACTCATATACTGCCGGTAAGAATGCAAAATGGTACAGTTGTTTTGTTAGTTTCTTTTAAAGTTACATGTACATTTAAGATGTAACCTAGCAATCTCACTACTAGGCACTGCCCAAGAGAAATGAAAACTTAATTTCATTACATAAAAAAACCTACATGCAAATGTTTATAGCAGCTTTATCAGATGGCTAAAAATTGGAAAAAACTACCTTTCAACTGATGCATGAATAAACAAACTATAGCCCTTTCATACCATAGAATACTACTCAGCTGTAAAAAAGAATAAATTGACACACAACACAGATGGATGTCAAATGCATTATGCTAAGTGAAAGAAGCCAGAGTCAAAAGGCTACATACTATATGATTCCATTTATATAGCATTCTGACAAAAACAAAACTACAGGAGATGAAAAACAGATTAGAGGTTGGAGTATATGAAGAGGGGTTGACCTAAAAGGGGCAGCATGAGGGAATTTTGGGGGTGATGAAACTGTTTTAACTCTTGATTCTGGTGGTGGTTACGGAACTCTAGGCAATTTGTCAGAATTCAGAACTGTAAATAAAAAAAAAAGGAATTCTACTGTATGTAAATAGATGAATGACTTTTGGATATCCTGGTCCTATAGCAAGATTTCCCACCCTCAAATGACTCTACCCTGAAGAAGGTAATGGAAACATCCAAGATTGTTGGGTAATAAAAATACTCCAACTTTTGGCTGTCTCCCATCGCTCACAGACTTTTCTTAGCACTTATATGCCTAGATACTATTCAGACAATTGCACAACAGTGACTCCTTTATGAGTTTGTAGCAGTCATGCTGATAAAATTACGGTATTCCAACAATATAAATATGGAACAAATATACTAACTAGATAACCAATGAAGAGCTAACACAGTGCGGGGTAGGGAAGGAGGGAGATGGGAAGAAAGTCTGAATTATGAGAGGGGTATGAAACTAAGAAATTTGGAATATTCTATGAAATGAATGGTTTATCAAACTTGTTCTATAGTTGTATGCATATTGTGTGCATGTTGGAGAAAAAAGACCAATGTCATGGATATTTACTGCTTAGGTTAAAAGAAAAAGCAGGTTATAATATATAATACATATATGTATATAACATGGTATTTTTATAAATAGGGTGGAAGCCCATATACCAAAGGGTTAACAGTGATTATTTTTTGAGTGAGCGGATTATGGATGATTTGTACCTCTTTTATTTTCCTTATCTATATTTTCTTATTTTCTACAATAAACATATATGGCTTTTAAACTTTAGGGAAAATGGTGAAAATAATTTTTAAAACAAATATACTAAAAGATTTTTTGCGGGGGACAGAAATCTCAAAGTCTTTAAAATATTTAAGTGAATACTAAAATGAGCTTATAATTCCTGAGCGCCAAAGCCTGAAAACAGCAGTCCACGATAATGCTGTTGGACAGAGGCAGGCCGACTAACTATCTGTTCCAATAATTAGATACAGGATGTGGATAATTCATTATGCAGAGAACTGAGAGTTGACTCCCTGGCTTAAGATACACAGGTATCTTATCTGCAGCAGATGCTGAGAGCATGAAAAATAAGCAAACATATAAACACAAACCTGTATGCCAAAACTCTACTTAAGGCAGCCTCTTGACTTACACTTTAGAAGCACATAATCATCTCCCCCAAGACAAACTGATGGTATTTGCAAAATGATCATTGTTACCCTTATTAGGTAGTAGTCTCTCTTGAAACCCACACAGATAGAATTTTCACACCATGCCATGGACTTGGGCACATCTGGTACACTGAAGTCCCCCTGAAGAAAGAGAACAAGAGTTTAATTGTAAAGATGTTAAAAGAAAAAAGCCACAACATTCCTGTTATTCCATCCCTATTCTGCAAAATCACCCTCATTCTCATCTGAATTCAATTCTATAAACACAAGACCAGGAAAGCAGCCATAATAAAAATACAGCCAGACCTTGAATAACATCATTTCCTTCAACACTGTTTTGTTATAATGTTGACAAGATGCTGTAGGAATTTAACTACTGTTTTTATCAATTAGCCTATTTGGTTATATATCATTTTGCTTAAAGTTGTAGAACCTATCAATGACATTAAGTGAGGACTTAATGTAAGCCACCCAAGTACTGGACAAGGTGCATTGGGAAAAGGTGAGAACCCACTCTAAAATAAACCAATCTGTACAGACACTGTACAATTTCATTACTGCTGCCTCTGAAGACCACGAGACTTTGACCAATGGGTATGAATAGGCTCTCACGTGCATACGAGGCATTCGTAGCAGAGTACTGATCTGGAGAGAACTCCGACCCTGAGCTCCTGACCTTCACTACAACAAAACCATTCGTCTTTCAAGCTGTGAGTCAACCATAGCAGCACCTCCCACCGAACCCATGAACCAGGTAACAGTGGACTTTACCTGCAACTCATGAAATTCCTGCATTTCATGAAAGTCCAGGGAACAGTGGACTTTACCTGCAATTCATGAAATTCCCTGTCCTTCCAGAAATATAGCTGCAGCTTCTTTTTCACAGCTACACACATCCGTAACACCTCCTCACCAGTCTCCGTGTGCTGGGAAGATACACCCAGAACAAATGAGGATGAGCATGCAATGACTCTATAACTGAATGACAACTAGAATAGAGATTTTCTACACTAAAATGGCTATTAATCTGAAAATCCCTTGTAATGCTAACTCATGTTGCCAGACAAGCTGAGCTGAAGAACACCATCCTCTCATGTGCTCAGAAACAACAGGCTGAGGAGCACTTCCTCCCCGCGGCCTGCAGGTCAAAGGCCCTCGCGCCAGCAAATCTTGTGGGTATTCGTAATTCAGGGAGGAAAATCCCAGGGCAGGCCTTTGCCTATAATACATAACAGCTTCCTCCTTTTCTGTCTTAAGTGTTTCTTGCATGTTAAGTGGCTGTCAATACATGCTAGGTCAGAGATCAGCATGTGTCAGTGGCCACTTTGAATCCTTTAAAGGAGTCTTGGGAGAAAAAAAGTCTACGCATAAAACAGTGCAGTTTCAGTGCAGACCACAAATGTTAAAAAGTGATCAAAGTTGGAGGTAAGGCAGATTTTGAAGAATGTAGGGGTGAGGAACTGGCAAAAATACAGAGAAATGTCTTTCCTGAATAACAAAAACTCCGTAAAGACAAGGACCAGCATGATATGCTTAAAACAAGAGGCAATTTAATGTCTCATCTGTTATGTTCATGGTACTGTTATAGGTTTGATTCCCCAGTAATGATTTGTCCATGACAGGTGTTTTTATCCTTAGTGAGCTGCCCCTGCCATACAGACATCTGGGGCACACATACCAGGAACACAAATGTTTCAACCTCAGACTACATGCTAAGGGGGGAAGCTTCTCTAATATAATCCAAAATCAAATACTCTCCTTGAAGTCCCTGCTGGGTTTGAATATCAATGTTATTCTTCCCACTTAATGGTAGAAATAATATAGTTAAGACTCCACTTATTAAAGCACAAAGTTGAACTTCATTTTGCCTACACTTACCTGGAGGTCACATGTGAACAGTGATGCTCCCTTTGCCTTTGAAACTGTAGTGATTTGTTGAAATGTCAGTAGATCATGGACATAAATATTATTTTCTGTTTAGAAGGAGGTAAAACATCACAATAAATTATCACAATTCTCTAATATAGCCACCTTCAAGACAAAAAAAAAAAAAAATTACAGTAACTATAACAACCAGAAGAATAAAATAGCAAGATTGAAGATGCACCTTCAGTTTCACTAACAATGGTTTATTCTGGCCCATTACCAGAATTACACTACAAAACAGTTCAAAACAGTTCAGTCTTCTGAACTTGGATATTTTGTTCCTTTAAATTTGGGCTAGCTTGAATAAAAGAGCTCTCTCACTTCCAAAGCACTCTTAAAAAGTACTCTTTATACTCTTTCTTAAGTCTGGAAATCTGTGATGTAATATTTGTACAAGAAATGGTTTTTAAAGCTACTAACATTAGGAGACTCCAGTAAGAGAAAGGAAATCCCCTGTAGATTTTGTACAAACCCACAAGGGTTTCTTTGCTAGCAAAGCAAGAAAAGTAATTTCACTGGGGCCTCCTAGCTAACTTTTGTCATGAAGATTCAGTTACTTTAAATGTTCCTCTTTCAACTTAGAACCTACGTTTAAAATGATAGTACCACTCAGGCCCTGGGATGCGCAGCGGTGAGTGTGCAGCAGGTTTCTAGCTGTCTGCTTGTCAAGGGAAGTCCTCACTGGCCCTCTTCCAGGAAACTGCGGCTTTTCACACAAGGCCCTGAATAGCCTGGCCCTGAGCCGTCTCTCGCCTGTCTCTCGTCACTCTCCATCACATAACCTAAGTCTGGCCTGGGCCTTTGCTGAAGCTGTTCCCTCTGCCTACGACATTCTGCCTATTTCTTTCTTTCTGTCAAAATCCTAATCATCCACTACATAATGTCGTCCCTCCCATTACTATATCCCACAACACTTTTCATAACTTTCCACTGTACCTTACTTCACTGTATCACGATTACTGTATCTTGCCGTGCATAATGTGCTCCTGGGTATGATGCGCACCCACGTTTTTGATGTATGCTATGCAGAGGATTACATATTCATTATACCCATGTATAATGCACATCCTTATTTTTCCCTAAAAAAAGTGGGCAAAAAAGTGTGCCGTATACACAGCACTTTCTGTCATTTCAGTCTTCACAATCAGAACACAAGATAAAAACCATCTCATTCAACTTGGTTTTCAAAATGCCTACAGTAGGGCTCAATGAATATTTGCTTGATTAGTAAATGAATGAATGACTGAGTGAATAAATGAAGTGCCACTTCCTGGAGAACAGAGCTCAAGTTGATTGGGGATGCTGCTGCCTGAGTGACCTGTGTACCCTGCTATATCTGGTTTGGAACATGTCAGTTTCATTGTTGGTAATGACTATCAAATAAACCATGAAAGGATTAATTAGGTCATAGCTTTTATTTTTTTCACATATGAAATAGAATCATAACCCCTTTTCTTACCTAACAAGCTGACTAGAATCTTAAACTGGGAAACCACATGGATCTGAAAAATAGCAAATCATTACACTCAGTTAAACATACGTGACAAGGTTTAGCAAACATTCGCTTAACTACAGTACTAAAAAGAGACTAAAGGGCCTGTACCAATGACAGGGATCTGACTTATACTTATGAGCAATCACAATTTCTGCTTGTGAAAGGGTCTCGGGCAGGTGATGGATGGGCAGAGACCCCTGCATAAATGGGAGGACAGAGCAGAGGATTGAGAGTTAAACAATGTTACCGAAGTTCCAGTTCTGACAGGGTCTCCGAGCAGTCAAACATAAATGTAGCAACCCCCATCGCTGCCTACCTGCTGAATCTTTTTGGAGAAGTTCTTATTGGATTTTTCTAGTGTCACTTCAAACCTGTTGCAGCCTACGGAAGAGAAATAGTCACAGTTCCAAACACGGGATACATATAAAAATAACTACAGCAAAAAAAAAAATGCCATTCCGTACTGCTCTCCTACACGAATCTTTAAAAATTTCTAAAGGACTAGAAGTTAGAGATATTAAAAAGCCAGCTGTCTTTATGGCATATAGTAAGTTGCTTTCAACTCCGATTTTGAAACAGAGGGTTTCATGCACTTGGCATTAGCAGAGTATCACACCACAGAAGTTCACCGAAGCTGCAAGGTACTTGTGAGTTGGAAGATCTTATCATACCAAACAGTACCTTGGCAAAGTATTTCACAAAAAACGGGTGTAAAAGGTAATAGTCAAATGTAAGAGCCCAAGCAATGAAACCCAGCCCAAAGCATCCTCAGATCCAGACCCAGCTAAATCCCGGCAGCTACCTGATGTCCTGGGACAGAGCAAACACACTCAGCGCCATCCCCAGAGCTAAAGCAATTTAATGTATCTACACTTACTGCCACTTTCAGGTGATGCCACATCTGCTAGCACTGTTGCAAAAAAGGGGAAAAAGTTATACACCATAAAAATGTGTGAAGCCAGCCTTAGTGGGACGACAAAAATATTCAGCCTCAAAAGTCACCAAAGAATAAAAAAAAAATTAATAACAAAACTTTGGGTCGGGTTCAAAACTTTGTGTTTTCTGTCACCTCACAGCTACCCCCCAAGAAATAGGTAGTATTGTGATTCTAATTTCGTATCCGAGGCACCTGATGGGTCGAGCAATTAGGTAGCGGCCAAGTGGAAGGACAGCCCAGAAACAAGCTTGGGACTGACTGGAAAGCCTGGGCGATGGGTCCGCCCCTCGCTGCTCGCCTCCCAGCTCACAGAGGAACTGTCCACACTGCTGACCCCGGCTGCTCCCCACACCCAGGTGGGCTCCTGCCCACCCAAAAGTCGGTGGAGAATCTTTGAGGCAGACACAGGGCCCGTGCCACAAAAGCTGGTCATCCTTCCTCCACATGTAACTCAGCAGAGACGAAGAAGGGGCTCTAAAGTTTTCGGAGATTCAGAAACATGCCCTGTATTTCTGCCATTATATTGCACAAGAAAAAATAATCCAGCCACTTCCTGCTTGATAAAAGAGTTCTCTATTTGAAAAAGCCTTCATTCTTACTTCTTTTTTTCTTTTTTAAAATACCCCTAACAATTCTCTTTATAAGCATAATGTTCTAGGGCAAAGATTCTCAATGGTCTCAGGACCCTTCATAATCTTAAAAATTACCGAGGACCCCAAAACTTTTATGTGGGTTATAGCTACCAAAGCTTGCCATACTAGAAATTTAAACTGAAAATTTTTTACATATGTATTTATCAACTCAAAAATAACAGTAATAAACCCATTACACTTAGCATAAATAACATATTTAAATGGAAAAAACTATTTTTCCAAATTAAAAAAATGCATTGTTTTACATTTTTGCATGTCTGGATTAATAGAAGACAGCTGGACTCTCACATCTGCTTCTGCATTAAATCTGTTCTGATACACTGTTTTGGTTGACGTGTAGGACAAAAATCTGTTCTCACATGGGCATAGAGTCAGACAAGGGAAGAATATTTTAATAGTTTTTCCAGATAATTGTGGATCATCTTTTCTGAGACACTACCAAAACTTGACAAATGAAGTTTCTTACAGTGTGAAATATGAAACCTATTAATGAACTTTTCTGTTAAAGTCCATTGGTCTATCTTACACTTTCAATGGATCTTTTACTCATGATTTAGAAATTTTATGCACTGTAAAACATTGGTTCACTGGGGTATGCAGAGTTTTCAATGCCAGCATACTTCTTTACAAGACATATTAAAACAAACAAACAAAAAAAAAAAACCCCTCACACTCATGATCCCTCCATAACCTCATCAGAAAAATCTTTAGTATTGAGAAGCCGTCAAGCTCATGAGGGTGGATACAAGTTTTCCACAATTCTAATTTTCTCTTGAAAGCCCTAACTTTATCATTAGCAACAAAAACTGCCTGTTGTTTTCTTTGAAGTGACACACTCTTTTCGTTCATTTTTGAGAAAATATCTACCAAATGCCCAAGTGGTCTGAAAAACCATAGATTGTCTGCCATTCTTCTAAGCAGAAATGATGCTCCATGACAAAATAAAAGTGGCCAGTTTGGCTCATAACTCAAACACACAAGTACTTTTCCAAACTGAGGCGGCTACAGTGCTTTATGCCTTGGCACCTAGCAGAAGAGCTTTATGTGAACTTCCCATTACATCGCCGAGATTATTAAAAAGACATGTTCTCAAAGGTCAAGATATAATAAAATTAATAATTTTTACCTCCTCACAAAGAACATTCTTACGTGAAACTGGCTTTAACAAAACCAAAACCACCTGTGAGTGCCTGCTGGAGGACTACACAACCGCCAGGACAGGTCGGCACGCACGAGTTTGCCGCCACTGTCTGGATCTTGTGCGAAGGGGCCAGCAGTTTTAGCTGCTGTTACTTTTGTGCCATTGGTGCAAATGTCAGTATTTGTCAGTGAAAGAAAAAACAATGTTTTAGTGTTACTGTGAACTTAGTTTTGACCTTGTAGATCCTATGCAAGGATCTTGGGGACCACACTTTGAGAACCATTGCTCTAGGCAAACAACGCCATTGAAGCAAACCTAAAGCGAAGACTGTATGGGAAACAATCTAACCCCTTCGTTTTAAAACATGAGTAGAATGAGGCTGAGAGGCTTTTCTGAGCTCAAAGGAGATGTCTCAGGTCAGAAGAGAAGCAGATGCCCTTAATCCTAGTCCTTCCATGACATCTTATTACCTACTCCCTTTGCTCAGAAAGACAGTCTAGTTGCAGACCTATCCAGGTTTGGGATATCTCAAATTTAGAAATCTAGTTAGTTCTATGGCTGATTCACAGAGTCCCGGGTCTATTTCTGGCCCATAAACAGACCAGAGCTAGGCCAGAATTAAATTGCTCTCTAAGAATACAGGAAGAAGTAAAGTTCCTAATCAAAGGTTGATTTCCTAATAGTCTAAGGTAGGTTAATATTGCTACTCAAGTTGCCTATGGGAAACTGAGGCCCAGGAATAAAGTCCATGGTGAACTGATCACAAGGCAAGGAACAGTCACCACCAGTGTTCCGAGTGGGATTAACACTAATATTATGAGTCTGAATCTATATTAGGTTGAAAGACATATTTTTATAGTCTAATTTTCAATTTCTCACCATGTATACAGAAGTGGTATATAAACAAATCGCTCTAGTGTAGTATTTAGTATGTGATGGTACAAAGAACTGATTATCAATCAGAGGAAGAGAACATTAGGATCTCACATCCCTATCCTGCACAGTATCTGAGCCCAAAGTAGACAGTCAAAACATAGCTGTTGAATGCTGAATAAAATCCAAGGCAAGCTTAATTTTCAAATTATAGACAGGGTAGACGTCAAAGAATGCAAATAATCTAGTTCAGAACTAAAAATTTAAAAAAGGGCCAGCAAAGCACTGCTCATGGGTCCAATCCAGCCCTTGACATGTTTTCATAAATGAAGTTTTATTGAAACATAGCCACACCTCTTCATTAACATACTGTCTATGTCTGCCCATTTGCTACAGCAGCAGAGCTGGGTGATCACAGCAGAGATCTTATGGCCTGCAAAGCCTAAAATATTTACTATTTGGTCCTTTCTGGAACAAGTCTGCTGACTCCTGATTTAAAGCATAGCTGAAACACTTAGAAATGCAATAAACCCTCTGTTTTGAACTTCTGGTTTCTCTTCTTACCTTACCACAAAACCTGACCAGGTGTCTTCCACTTCCTATTGTACTTTGGCTTAAGAATTAATTTGAGCTGAAGGCAACTAAGAAGCAGACATAAGAAAAGCTCTCTCTGCTCTCTTCCAATCTGCCTAAAAGCAGGACATAAATTTACAAAACTGTCTCTCCTCTACCTCCCCCTCTCCCCTCCTCTCCTGTCTATCAGGGAGGACAGAATTTTTCTCCTTCCCTACTCTTATAAGGTGACCCTTGTCAGCCCAGAGGCTGACACGCCCATCTCCAGTTAGCTCCCCCACATGTTTGCCTTCCCACAAATGGCCACTCTAAAAATTCAAAGTCCTTTTCCTTTGGTCACTTCTCTAAAAAATTACAGTTTGTTTATTAGGATGACACAGAGGTCCAGGCTCTAATCACGCCTGAGTGCTCACAGTAATAAACCTCTACTTATTCTTCTCTTGTTAGTCTGTCTTTTGTCAGTCTAGTTTACACATCCCTAGCCAATGAACCTAAAATGAGTACTGGGAAAAAGAATTTTTCATCTTCCCTACACTAGTAAGATGCTCTTTCCCCCCAGTGTTACCTTTCTTTGCTCCAGGTTCTAAAGAGAAGGCTCTATTTCCACTTTTCCTTAAGCTATTCACTGTAGAAAGTTATTTATTAGGTTGAAAGCTATGAAACTTTTTTTCCTAATATGGTTCAATAATGACAATTTCATGTGGTTCAATCTACTGTGGCATTAACGGCAGATTTCCACAGACTTAAAGCTCTAGGGCATAATATCCAAACATAGCAATTTTCCATAAAGAAAGCATAGAAATAAAATTAGGAAAAGGAAATGAGGTGCTTTTTTGTGTTAGAGCGTACTCAAACAGAATAAATTTCACATATTTTTTAGTTACTATTCTACATTTTTACCGACAAGGTCACATTTGATTAGAAGTTTAGTTTTTAAAGTTCTTTCAAATATTTCACTGCATCTGACCCCGACGAATTTGTGAGAAAAAGATAGTTCACGGAAGAGAAAAACGACAGTGGAAAGGGCCCCCTCAGTCAAGTGGTAAGAGGAGTAAAGCTGCACTCAAGCCCAGGTCTTTTCTCTCCTAGTCCACCCCTCTTAAGTGAATAAGGTCTTTTAAATCAATGGTTCCTAATTTTTTCTCTAGTACATTATTTACAGGAAAAAAATCTTATTCCCATAAGCAATATTTCTTATTTCTGGCAGTGAGTCCCCAAAAACTGAGAGGAGGAACATCTATTCCCGCACAACCGCCTCCCCGCCCCCATCCCCATGGGCATATGGGCACATAGTCTGAAAAAAAACCCACAAAACCGTAGAGATTCTCACACGCTTCTCCCCACTTTCCCACTGGGCTACTCCCACTCCCCCAGTCACTCTTTCAAGTGTCCAGAAATCACTGATTTCACAGTTGTATACTAGCCAACTACCAAAACTTTTTTTTTTTTTTCCTGGCATGTATAGTAAGCCATTTCTTTCTCAGTTCTGAAAAGTTGCCACTTACCAACGTCCTTCCGGATCCTATAAAGAAGAAGATGTCCTTGTTTGGTTCCAACAAGAAGCCATTCCTCTGGAAAAGAAAAGAGCTGTGAGAAACATCAGCTTTAGTTAGATCCCATTTCTTTATTTCAAGGTTTTAATCAGAATCAAAGGGTCAAGAAAGTGAGTTCTTTTTGATAGAAGGTGTTGTGCAAAGCCAAAGAATGTTTATAGTCAAGAAATATTTGGGAATCAACTAATCAAAAACACAACACACTTATTCAACAATTACTAGACTAGACATTACAGAATAAAAAATGTCCTTGGTTTCATTGCTTCAAAATTAAACTGACCAAAAATATCATTGAAGTTTGTAAAATCATAAAATGGGTACTATAAACATGAAACTAGGTATCTAATCTCAGAAATAACAACTAAAAGGCACCCTGTGAAAATTAATGATTTAACTTTAGGGAAAATAGTATAGTAAGCTTATGGAATTCATTATATCAAAATATGGTCTAGCAGATAATAACAAGTGTGGATAATAAAGACAGGAATAAATTGAAACCCTCACACATTATTGGCAGGAATATAAAGTGGTACAGTCACTCTAGAAAACAGTCTGGCAGTTCCTCAAAAGACTAAACATAGAGTCACTACATGTCTTAACAATTCCATCCCTGGGCATATACATATGTCCACACAAAAACTTGTTACAAATGTTCATAGAACCATCATTTCCAATAGCCAAAAGTGGAAACAACCCAGATGTCCATCCACTGATGGATAAACAAAATGTGGCATATCCATACAATGGGATATTAGCCCGCTATTAAAAAAAACAGTGCTGATACATCAGGGATGAACCTGACATTATGCTAAATGAAAGAAGCCAGACAAAAAAGGCTACATATTGTACGATTCTATTTACATGAAATTTCCAGAATAGGCAAATCTATAGAGACAGAAAGATTAGTGGTTACCTAGGACCGGTGAGTTGGGGGGAAATGGGAAATAAATATTAATGGGTTTGGGGTTTCTTTTTAGGGTGATAAAAATGTTCTAAAATCAGGCCGTGTGGCTATATACTTGCACAACACTGTGAACATACTAAAACCACTGAATTTTACATTTTTAAGTGGGTGGACTGTATGGTATGTGAATTACATTTTAATAAGCTCTTATTAACAGATGGTTGAAGCCCTGGCTAGGTAGCTCAGTTGGTTAGAACGTTGTCCCCATATGCTAAGGTTGTGGTTCAATCCCCAGTGAGGGCACATACAACAATCAACCAATGAATGATAAAAAAAAAAAAGCAGAATAACAAATAGATGTTTCTGTCTCTCCCCCACTCTTTCTTCTCTCCCTCTCATAAAAAAAAAAAAAAAGAGAGAGAGAGAGAGAAAGAAAAGGTCGAGCCCTGTGGTTCTTAAACTTTGGTGTGTACCAGAATTATTTGAGGGTTTGTTAAAACAGATTGCTGGGCCCTGACCTGTTTCTTACTCAATAGGTCTGAAAGTGGGCCTTGGAGCTTGCATTTCTAACAAGTTCCCAGGTGACGCTGATGCTGTTGGTCAGGGGCCACAATTTTGGGAGACACTGGTCTACACTAAAAGGAAAGAGGTTCCAAAAGAGTTTAAATAATTACCCTGACCAATTTATATTAACTCATTAAGAGAAGTTAAGCACTTACAGATACTTCCTCAACTTTCTAATCCTATACAGAGGTCAGACACTCCCTCGCTCCTTTATAAAATATTAGATAATGGTACAAACAGATAAACTACACTGAGCATGCATTGTATTTGAGGAAATACTAAGCACATATCATATGTTATTTCATTAGTCCTCACAACTAGCTTTTAAAATACGTTGTTTTCATAAACTCCCATTTTATAGATGAGGGAGTTGGGGCCTTGGAGATAAGGTGTCTACTTACACATGTAGTAAGATGTGCATGGGAGAGTCAGGATCTAACCACACGCTGCGACACATTTAATGGGACATTCTGCATCAAAAGAATGGTTGTGGGCCAGAGGTTGTCTGGAAGGCAGTGGTTAGTTATAAAAACAAGTTAGGAGCCACCTCAGGAACATTCCTCCAGGTTGATGTTCTTAGCCTTCCAGAAAAAATGATTCTGTCTTCTTTTGTTTTGTATTTTAAAGCAAAGGCAGGAAACAGAAAATAAGATACTGTGTGCTCTTAATGACATAAGTAGAAATTAGAAATAACACTGGCTCTAATGGAATGCTGGAGATTTATGCTGGAGCAGAATATAGGGGGAAAAATTCAGCTTACAATGCTTGCTTTGTGAAAGAGATTGTTTAGACATCCCGGAATCAAGCAATTGGTAATATTAAAGTTGATTTTTAGAATACCTGCTATTTCAAATATAAATACAATGAAGCGGGAATTTAAAAAACAATTCTTATACATAAAAATCCATAACCAAAAGGCCAACATATATTCACCTTCCTCCCTATCCTTCCTCTCTACTGTGCCCTCAAACCTCTGCCAGATCCTGCTTTTATCTCTTTTAACAGCCTCAACTTCTACCAGGTCTGCAAGGAAGGCCTATCAATTCTACCTCTACAAGGTACCTCCCAACAGCCCTCTCCCATAGTCTCTCCAGGGACCCCTGTGACGGCCTGGTCTCACTCCACATGTTCTTCCAGGTTTGCTGTCAGTTACCTTACAGCAGATCTCTGATGATGTTCCACTGGGGCTTGAATTCTCATGAAGCTGCACTACCACAATGTGAAGTCAAACTGGTAAGCAAGACACATGAGAGCCTATTTTTCATTTTTATTCAAATATTTATTTGTCAACAGATTTTTTTTCAAATGTCTACTGTACTGGTCATAAAATGGAATCAGATAAGTTCACTGAAAATGTTTTTTAAAATTAAAAATTTTATTTATTTATTTTTAGACAGAGGGAAAAGGAGGGGGAAAAGGAGGGAGAGAAACATGAATGTGTGGTTGCCTCTCATGCGCCCCCTATTGGGAACCTGGCCCACAACCCAGGCATGTGTCCTGACTGGGAATTGAACCAGCGACCTTTCGATTTGCAGGCCAGCACTCAATCCACTGAGCCAAACCAGCCAGGGCTGTTTTTTAAAATTTTAATTGAAATTTTATTTCACCCTTTTCAAGCTTTCGTTTGGAGGTGCTGAGAAAAAAGATGCCTTTATCATATATGCAAAGTATTGTCACAACTTTCCTTTAAGTAGTAAAAGCACCATACACATACTCATTCCTAAACTTCAAAGTCATAAGGAAAATGTAGAAACAGCACAGAACCCGGAAGAGGCTTGCTTTGGTTACAGAAGTCAGTGGGGGCTCAGGTGGCCAGAGGACCTGAGCCACACTGGGCCTTCACATTCTATGACATGTCATCATGTAACACTGCTGTACATGCAAAACACAAAGAGAAGCCTGCATAGAAGGTACAGCACAGGGTAAACAGTCCTTTCTGAGGCTCAACACTGTATATCAGAAAGTGGAACACACTGCACAGATGAGTAACACACATAAACAAATGAGAGTCAGCCCTAGAAAATTCCTGACAGCCTAATTCTGAGCCACAAGGTTGGACTTGAGCCCTCCAAGGAAGTGAGTGAGGCTGGCCCTTATTGCTCATAATTACCCCACTGAAGCTCTGTCCTGCCGTACACCCAATCCAACCTTATGTGATAAACAATTCCATTGCTGGTCCAATGCTGGCCACTGCAGGGAATAAGCTTGTGGTCACTTCCCTTCGTTCGGTAATAGGGCAAAGAACAGTGTTTCTCAAAGCGTAAGGCCCTAATTAGCCACATTAGAATCACTTGGACTAATTAAAAATGCACATTCCTGAGCCCTGCTCCCAGAGATCCTGAGTCAATGATTCTGCAGTGGTGCCCTGAAATTTGCACTTACAAATTATATGAGACATTTATTAGTTCCAAAGCTAAAACTGTGAGAAATCTAGCTTCCATCCTTGTCCACTCTACCCTGTTCTCTCCCTTCTGCTATTGGTAAGCATTTTAGTAGTCCGTGATCTATATTTCCATTGTTTCTTTGGATAATATAAGCAAATATGATTGTGTATATGCACATACAGATAACACACACAAATCTGCATTTTTTAACAGGATCTGAATATATATTAAAGTTTGGGAACCAGGCTCTAGAATCAGACATAATTTACATGACCTTGGAAAATTTACTTAAAATTCTCATGCTCTTCCTCTGCAAAATGTGGCTATTATTTTATAAAAGCTCTATATGATTAGCACTTAATAAATAGAAGCTATTGCCATTAATATTATTCATTAGTTAAACAAATACTCAATGGATACCCATTAGGACTCTGGAACTATTCTAGGAACAGCAAATAAAGCAATATAAAAAACAAAGTTCCTATTCTGAAGAAATTTATTTTCTAACAGGGAGTGAGAATAGTTAGGGGAGGTATTGCTGATTTATGTGACATTTCAGCAGAGACCTGAATGAAATGAGGAACGAGCCATGAAATATTTAAGGCAAGAGAGTGCCAGGCAGAGGAAACAGTGTAAGTACAAAGGCCCTGAGGTAGGTAAGGGCATTGTGTGTTCACGGAAGAAAGGCTGTGTGAGTAGTACCAGAGAGCTGCAAGGGGTAAGAGCATAGGAGATAATGGCAGAGAAGCAACCAGAGGCCGGATCATGTCAGGTGTAGCCAGCAATGGTAAGGACTCTGGAACTTCTAGGTATGATGGGAAGCTACTGAAGGGCTTTGAGGAGAAAGAGATGTGATTAGATTATGTTTTCAAAGGCTTACTCCACCTCTATGTAGATAAAAAAAATGTGAAAATGGCACAAGAGCAAGCACAGGATGAATAGTAAGACTATTACAGTAATTTGGATGAGAGAGGATAGTAAGCTTATCAAGAGTCAAAAAAGTAGAAAGCAATGACTGGATTCTGGATTTATTCTGGAGGTGGAACAGACAAGATCTGCTGATGGATTGAATGTGGGGTATAAGAGAAAAAGAGAAGTCAAGAATGATTCCAAGGCTTTTGGCCTTAGCCAGATGGATAAACAATTGCCATTTGCTGAGATTATGGGATGTAGGTGGGTGGGGGGTGGAGGTGTGGAGGTGTGGATAGGTATGTTTTAGGAGAGTGTAATCATCAAGAACTGTTCTGGCCATGTTACTAGACACTCGAAACAAAGATGCTTAAAAGGCAGCTGGATTCTCAGGAATTTAGGGAGAAATCATTATCATGAGTACCCTCTTCATTTCCATTTCCCAAGAGACAGACTATGATGTCTCAACATCTTCCACTGAAATATTGTCTGGCCCTGCATGATCTGAATCCTGGAGGTTCCTGGATGAATGTCAGGTAAAGGGGGTAATGACTAGAAGGAATAATATTTATTGTTGCTTAAGTCTAAAAATAAAGTAGTTTTCAGGCAGGAGGTGGTAAATGGCCTCTTGTAGCCCAATACCTACGACAGCTTCCTAGTAGGCAACAGGCATTTCTCCCATTTGGTGGGAGATCAAGGCAGGTCAAAAGCTACATTCCATTACAAAACTGTCTTCCTGAAAAGCACAAGTACAGGGAATCTTTACTGTGACAAAGTGGAGTTGGTGCAAGAGGCTGAGATATGTGTCCTACTAGGTCCACAGGGTATCAAAGTCAAGCACTGTGACAGGGTAAATGGGAGTGTGGTAAGTGGCAGCACGCATCCTTTTCAGAAGCATATGTCCTAGGCAGTTGGGTACCCTTCCTCCCTGTTTCCCTAATAGGCAGCATATGTCTCTAGTATCATTTATCGTGTATCATAATCTGTTCATATGTCTTTATCTTCCACTCTGTGTCCTAGAAGCACAGGTACTGGCACTGCGTCTTACTCATCCTTATAGTATTCCTGTCCCTAGCAGAGAGACTGATCTATGTAGGCACTTAATACATATTTGATGAAGAATGAGTCCCTTTGTGCAGTGTTGGATCTTTCATTTTTAAAGTTTTTTCTCCTCTATTTTTAATTCTTACTGAGAGCATTTAATGACAGAAAATGGAGACTTCCTTGAGATATCTGGAGGAAGCAGGGCTCTCTCTTTAACCCAAAGGACTAGGACAGCTTACTATGAAGATGTGATTTTAAAGAGCCCCAGGGCTGCTAATGGCAGGAGGGGTGTACATTTACATGAAGACCTATAGTGAAAGCACTCTATTGAAGAGGCTGGGAAGAACTCTGCAAGGCTGACTGGATGGCACTGTCCACAGATAATGCATATGATGCCAGCCACCAGCAACATTCCACCAGGCCCATCACAAGGACTTAGCTCACTGTAAGATCTGATTTAGGGTTCTGAACCACGTTTTTATGGCCCTTGATTTCTAGTACCTGGACATTAACAGGAAAGATTGAAATTATTTGTTTGGTCTTTGGTGGCTATTAGACACAACCAGTTATAGATAAGATCATAATGTTCATAGATTAGAGTCAAAGTTTAGACCCTTAAAACCTTTTGTATTCAGCAGTATACAAGAGATAAGAGATGTCTGTCCCTGGCCAATCCCAAGGGGATTATGCAAATTTTTATGGGTTAAATTTCATGACAGGCTGGAATGATGCTCTTATATCTACAGAGCTAGGTAACTTGGTCTCTTGAATATAAGACAATCAGCCATTTGGCTAGTCAGCAATTTTCAACCTTTTTCCTCATATAGAACACATAAATTACTAAAATTCTGTGGCACAGCAAAAAATGTTTTTTGCCAATCTGAGAAAAATATAGGTATACTTTCTATTCATTCACAGGGGATGGCTATTGTTGTGTTGGCTGTTGTCATTCTTTTTTTATTTGACAATCTAAGGATAAGAGGTCAGTGCCCCTAAATAGATATTGCATATTTTTTAAATTCTTGTGGCACACCAGCTGAAAATCACTGGGCTAGATTAAGAGTTTACAGTAACAATATGAGTTACCTACAATGAGAAGTGAACAATGAGCAATCACTAAGGGAAAAAGGCATATGTTGTTAACTTGTTCAATCTCACCCCCACCCTCACCTCCTCCGCCAAACCAGTACAACACATCTTCTGGGTAAGTTCGAGTCCCTGGCAGGCTGAAAACTTCCCACTGCTTGTGTCTCCAAACTAAAGACTTCTTGGTAATCGAAATAAGCCAAAGCTGAGCACAATTAATGAGGAAAGCTCAACCTCCAACTCTGCACCAAGAGCAAGGCCAGGTATACCGTCCCTAAAGTGCTTGGGTCCCTGAGATCGGCCAAAGAGCCCCACCGCCCTCGCTTTCTACAATACTCTGCACTCGTTTGTCCCAGTTTCCTGTCGGCCAGACGCCAGTCCACTTCGCCAGCCTTGTAATAGGTCCGGGCCGCTCCCGCGTTGCCAGGCCCCACCGCAGCCCCTCGGTTTTTCGGCTCACCCCATGCAGCCAAACAGTCGATCTGCAGAGGCAGCTTTTCTAGGATCGGCACCGGTTCGAAGGCGTCGTGCATAGCGGCGAGCAGAGAATCGCTCGGGCCGGGCTCGGGAACAGGGAACCACAGTAAGGGCCGACGAGCATCTGGTCAGATATCGTAACTACAGGCCCGTAGGTAACAGAGCCATCATCAACACCGGACTTCCTGCTGGCCTAAGCCCACCCCTTCCGCAGCGAAAGCCCCGCCCCTTCCGCCCGGCTCTTCGAACCTCTTCCAAGGAATGCAGTAATGCTTGGGTTCCCGTTTCGTCCTAGGCCCACAGCTTTTCTGTGGTGGAGTAGCCAGGGACATAACAAGGAGGGAAAAAGATCATAATCTTAGAGCTGTCTTAGGAAATGTAGTGTGATGGTTAAAGAATTCGGGCTTTGGCGTCGGACCTGGGATGGAGATATGCCATTCAGGAAGTTAGCTGTAGCATTTAAGAAATGTAATCTTAGGACTTAAATTTCCTTATCTGCAAAAGGATGGCAGTGTCCTCTACCGACCTAGCGTTGTGAGCGCTTAGCAACAACTGACACATTTAGCACTCTATAGTTTTAGTATTACTATTATAATCACAGCCTTACCCTTAGATTTTAAAGGTTGTTCCAAGGCTGTGGTTCTCAAAAGGTGGACCCTAGACCATCAGCTTCACCTGGGAACTTGTTAGAAATGTGAAGTCTCAGGCCTCATTCCAGCCCTACACCATCGAAAATTCTTCCCAGCAGCCTGTTTTATTAAGTTCCCAAGGTGAGTCCATGCACTTAAAAGTGAGAACCACTGCAAGAATTATCAGTATCTGGCAATTTACCCACAAAAAAAAAAACCCCTGCAGGTGTGTCATAAAATTAAGCATACTGGTTTAAAGCAAAAATGAAAAAGAAAAAGGGTGAATCTATGATAGTAAAAAAATGGGGCTGGTCACAAGTTTTTTACACAATGGTCACAAGTTTTTTACACAATGTCAGTTTCTTCATCTGTAAATTAGGAATATTGTCCTATCTTTACCAAATGCTGTTTCTGATAATCAAATGAAGTATTTTCAAGTAGTAAGAAGCACAAAAATGGCTGAACAAGTCTTATATCTGATTTTTACCATAGAAAGCAAATGCCTTGAAAATTTAGAATTGCCAGCTGCTGTGTTGCAAGAAGGCCTAATAACACCTTGCAGCTCCAGTACCAAGGACCAAGACTAAAATAAGCAATGAAAACTATAAGGTAACAGGCCAATGTTATACTATAAATTCCTTCTGAACCTCTTCTTAAAAAGTGGCACACTATATATATACAATCATAGTAACATAACAAGCCTTAAGAAAAAGCAGAAAGAATTATCAAGCCCCAGGCTACAGAGTTTATACTATAAACTCCTGCTTACACAATAGCTTTTTTCCCCCTGGTCTCAAGTTGACATCTAACCAGCTTCAAAAAATATTTAACCAACTATCCTACAGCACTCTATTACTCACCTGCTGAGTTTTACTATTAAAGAACAGAAGCATATAACAGTTACAACAGCCCTTTGCTAACGGATTAACCTGAGAATATAGTCAGTTCCTCATACGGTTCCTTAAAGATACTAAGTGACTTAGAAAAAAAAATCACCACAGCAAATAGCTTTAGAGAAATGTTACATAAATACTTTCACTATGAGTTAGTGAAGACTGTGGTTGTGTGGTTATTGGTTTCAACAGATAAGATGATATAGAATAAAAACCATGGAAGGAAAATTCCCATGGGAGAGTCTGGGAGAAAGGTCGAGAAAATCTGAGAATCTGAGAAAAGAGAAAAACACAATAATTTTGTTAAAATTTTTTTTATATTAAAAAATGGCATGAACTTCTATGTAGAACAAAACTTTTGGGAAGGCAAAAGTAGACAAAACCATTCAAACAGAAATATAGTGTATCAAATGAATCCCATCACCTTGTGATGTCTCTTATAAACAGTCTCTAAACCAACACCAGATACAAGAACAGTTGATTCCTAAAGAATGAGCAGCAGTCCAGGGCCTCCATACTACCTCATGCAGGAAAATTTTAAGCTAGAAGGACCAGTTTCCTTTGTATGAGCTCCTGCTTCTGAAGAATCACAGTACTTAGGGTGCTCACTCACAAGCACTTAGATGGAGTGCCTCTCTGCATCTAATACAACACCCAGTGAATGGCATGAAGGCAAACAAAGCATTGTCTACGACTCTGCAATTCTGCCTTGGAGGCTTACAAAACAGTAGTTAAAAGTTCTGGAGTGTGCACCACATTGCCAGCAATGGGATGTATCACAATAGCAGATGTCAAGAGTTAAGCTAATATTTCTCTCTAAAGTACATCTCAAATAGAAAAATCTTTAATATACACCTTTTGTAAACAAAATTGCACTTGATTTTGCTTTTTTAAATGATCTGAATTACACTGTAACAGTTTCTTTCTCTCCCCCTTTTTCTTTCTTTTAATCACTGATAGAAACATGGCTCCTTAAGTCAGGATATATTTTTCTCAAAATTACCTCTGCAAGTTGTAACCTTGGCTTCCTAGGAAATGGCAAGATAATTAACAATTTCTCCCATCACCTATATAACTCCCTAAATAAATAAAAATTACAGGCAGTTGCTCCTGGAGATTACATATTATGGTTTTGATGTAACAGTCCTTATGAAGATGTTAAAGTTTTTAGTTTGACAAATTAAACAATTTAAACATCATAGAAGGTTCAGGAACAACACACGTAAGTTGCATAAACATCCATGTCAGGGTATAGGAGGGAACGGGGCATCAATGTTGTACATAAGAAACTTGTAGATTTTTCTCTTCCTATGGACTTGTTTTCAATAAGATGTTCTCCTAGTTCTGACCCCTCCGGCCAGCTCCAATGCACAAAGATCAAGGAACAGATCAGGATGTCATTGCCTCCTTTAATTCCATGGAGCAGTGTAGAAGATTGACAGAAGCTGATCTCTTCCCAGATACTAGCCATCTTCAACTGCACATCTTCCCACTCTACTCCATTTTGGATCTTTCAAAGTGTGTGATCATTCGTTCCTTGGGGGGGGGAAAAAAGGTTTATTTAAAATACATTAATTTTAAATGGTCTGCATTCCAAATATCTTCTACATAGATGATGTACACACATATTTTCTACAAGTACTTGTTTATGTTCATGAAAAATTAAGAGAGATGGTTCCTAATCATCTATGAGGGTTTTGAAAGGTAGATCTATGTCCAGGTCCCACACAAGATTAACTGAATCAAAATCTCTAGTTTTGCCCTGGCTGGTGTGGCTCAATTGATTGAGCGTTGGCCTATGGAGCAAAAGGTCACTGGTTTGATTCTCAGTCAGGGCATATGCCTGTGTTGTGGGCCAGGTCCCCAGTTGGGGGCACGCAAGGGGCAACCAGTCGATGTTTCTCTCACACATCAATGTTTTTCTCCCTTTCTTTCTCCCTACCGCCCATCTCTCTAAAAATAAATAAAATCTTTTAAGGAAAAGATGAAAAATCTTTAGTCTTCCATACATCAAATAACAAATCAAAAGGTTTTAGTCAATCAAGATGATTAAACAAATAGTTACTAAAGCCTAAGCTTTAATAAAAATGTGTACCTCCCCTGATTCAGGAATTTAACTTGAAAAAATAGTCAAGGATATGGGCAAAGACTTAGAAACAAGGATTTCTACTGCAACACTCAGAATTATAAAATACTAAAAAAATTGTGTCCAAAAACAAAACTGTGTAAACAAACTATGCTATATCCTTATAGTGAAATATCATATACTCATTAAAATTACATTGATGAAAGAATTCCAGAGATCTGTTGCACAATAATGCATATACAGTTAACACTTTGCTCTTGGAATCATTAGGATGGTCATTTTATGTGTCTTTGACCATAATTTTTTGGTGCGCTCAAAGGCTTTCTGAAATTTAACATTCAGAACATGTACAGAACTAGCTCCCATTAATGCAGACTGCAATTCTTACTTAAGACTTCAATGTGAAGCCTTCCAGATGAACTGTAAGGATGCATATAAAAAGATTAAAACTCAGCACAAGCATTACCAGTAGTAATTATAATCCTTAGCATCTGAAGAAGATAGTAATACAGGTAACTTTGAATAACAGGTAACTTAGTTTGTATTTTGCTTTGGTCTATGATAGTCCTTTCTCATTCCCTTTATTATATTTGCCTAGGTTAAGGGGTAAATCTGAATTTCTTCAAGTCAAAGGTACTAGACTGTGGGACAGTACATATCTGCTACCCAAACTTAAAAAAGGCATTCTCAAATATCACCACATAACTTTGGAAAAGGGGGAAATATGCAGAAAGTAAACATTCTTAAATATCTGAGTTTTTTTAAAAGTATATTTTATTGATTATGCTATTACAGTTGTCCCATTTTTTTCTCCCCTTCTCACCCTCTGCCCTGCACCTCCCCTCCCTTCAAAACTGCCCCTCCTACCCAGTTCATATCCATGGGTTGTACATACAAGTTCTTTGGCTTCTCTATTTGCTATACTTTCCTTAACACTCCCTTCTCTATTTTGTGCCTACCAATTATGCTTCTTATTCCCTATTTTTCCCACTTTCTCCCCCTCCCCATTGATAATCCTCTATGTGATCTCCATTTCTGTGATTCTGTTCTAGTTACTTACTTAGCTTCTGTTTATGTTCAGTTGTTGATAGTTGTTTGTTGTCATTTCACTGTTCGTAGTTTTTTTATTTTTCTTAGACAAGTCCCTTTAATATTTCATATAATAAGGGCTTGGTGGTGATGAACCCCTTTAACTTTAACCTTATCTGGGAAGCAATTTTTCTGTCCTTCCATTCTAAATAATCTTGGATGTAGGTCCTTGCCTTTCATGATTTCAATTACTTCCTTCCAGCCCCTTCTTGCCTGTAAGGTTTCTTTTGAGAAATCAGCTGAGTGTCTTATGGGAACTCCTTTGTAGGTAACTGTCTCCTTTTCTCTAGCTGCTTTTAAGATTCTCTCCTTATCTTTAATCTTGGGTGACTTAGTTATCATGTGTCTTGGTGTGTTTCTTCTTGGATCCAGCTTCTTTGGGGCTGTCTGAGCATCCTGGACTTGGCATGTCTAGTCCCTTAGCCAACTTGGGGAAGTTCTCCTTCATCATTTTTTCATATAAGTTTTCAATTTC